TAATGCGTTTGCAGTCAGCATAATCAGTTTCCATTCAGAAATCTCGTCAACAATATATTTACACTGAACTGCCTGCAACACAAATGCCTCTGGCCGTCATTATGGCTCTTTTTTCGAGATTAATATACTCCTTCCTGTTCAGACATGAGTTGCAGATTACACAATTTATTTTGGAAATTTACACAAATGAAGAATAACGTGCATGTATTCTGATATACATTAACCATATGCTGGATATTCTGCATAGATTATATGATTAAAAACTATTAAAATGACATGAATAGTGCATTTTTTTAATTTGGATGCACATACTTTTTGAAATGGAGCATTTTTTCAGGTGGCATTTTCTGTCTACAATGTGCAAATAACTGCAAAACTCACAAATTTGTTCATATTTGGTCCTACATTTTTTCTCCTTTTTCTATTCATTTTTGATTGCACTGTTGGAAACACAAAAAAAGAATTACTGAACAGCTATGAAAATATCTTAAAATACGTTTTGTATCATTCAGCATTTAAAGCGCCAACTACTAACAGCACGGTTTACTTTTCTTTTTCACTGATTTTCAAATGTTTAATATTTATTTTTCTGGCCTCTCTTGTGGGGCTGCACACATTCATCTTCATTTTTGGCCTGATGCTAAACCGCACACTTACAGTTGAGATGCATTGCTTTGCAGAGAGTGCGAAAATGATTTCCATGCTGTTAGCCTGCAGTTTCATCACATTTTAGACCTTTAATGAGTGTAATTGGCAGCTGAGGTGAAATATTGATATTGAATAAACTCCCATAGGCGTTTATGTTGTTCTATTGTGTTACTCTGTGTTGACAGGCGGCAAAAGCCCATTTGACTTAGTTATGTTGCAGGGATTCCTCATCCTCTGAAGAAGCCAGGCCGGCCGTCATTTTTCCATCGTGTGAGGTCCTCGATCAGCTTTGGGAAATTTCTCTGCAATGATTACAGACAATTTGATGGGAGTCACATTCAACATATATATGACACTATTCAGCTAATCATTTTTTGCAATATGCATGTCTGATTTTGTGTAAACAAGAGAAATATGCATTTATGAAAATACCCAATTCCTGCTAAAACAATTCCAGACAAATCTTTTGATTTGCTCTTGTTGTGACTATTTCTTTCAGTTCTTGCTGGAATGTTTAATCCTTGCATATGACTAGTGCCCCCTGCTGTTCAAATCTTCAAATACTTTATGTCTCGATTTTTATATTGAATTTAGATATTGTTGTTGCTACATACAGGTTGTAGATCAAAAAGATAATAGGTTACTGATATGCATCAGGGTGGGTTATTCACTTCAACGTGACCTATCAGGTTGAGTCTATTTTAAGGTTGGACAGACATTTCTTCTCATATTGATGAATAATAAAATGACTGCTTTGGGTAGATGTAAGTATTCTCACAACATTGAAGGTGGTTCTTTGACATGGTTTTGTGAGATTGTTGTGTGAGGTGGCTTTCACTGGTTTGTTCCCTCCATTGATCAAACATATGACATCACTTAAAAACACAAGTGTTAAATAACTACTGTTGAGTCATACCCAACAATAAGAAGGTCATTTTGTTCTTGGTCTCCTTTTTATTCTCCTTTTCCTTTTCACTCTTAAGGAACAGCAACACTGCAGCCAAAATAAAATAAACTGTGCAAAACCTTTTCTTTCTTTCTAAAAAAAAAAAGAAAAGTCAGACATGTGTTGTGGTTGCTAAGCAAACAGCGACTAATAATATCTAGATGGAAGAGGTTTGCATTAGTGCAGCAAGCCAAAGCACAGCGTGTCTCAGTCTCCACCAATCTAAAACAATGAAGGTTCACCACATTGTAATTACCAGACAATGAGTTTGTCAGTCACTTCTCATAAATATGAATGAGGAGGGATGGATAAAGGTGTTTGGTCTAAATTTGCCACGGTTTTTGACGTGAGAACGAGAAAACGGCCTAGCATCATATTCATCCTATCAAAATCTCCCGAGGGAAAGAGTTTTTATGCTTTTGTGTGTCAGTCTTTCCCTGTCATGACTGGATGAGAGCGGCATGTAGAGGGCGGAGAGGGGTAGAGATTGATGTAACAGGTTGGGATTTTTACTTTTCTTTTTTTTTCAAATAGGGTCTATATATTTCTTTTGAACAGCTGTTAACTGAGATATACAGGCAAATGGCAAAGAGACAGCAGGTAGCATGGTTTGAAAACAGAAAGATACACCAGCGATTGGTTATTCTCAAGTTGATTTGAATATTAATAGAAAATATGAAAAGCTCCACTTAAACTGCTGCATGTTCGTCACTTAGCATCTATGGAGAGTACTCTCAATGTCAAAGTAGGCTTGATCATAACCAGTGTTCTATATTTACATTTCTAATTAACTACTGTATATAAAAGGTAATTTTGTCATCAGAAAATTATTATGATCAATTAATACTTATTTAGTTAGTTAGTCATGGAGATGGATTGTGTGTTTCTGCCTCCTTGTTGTTCAATGGATGCACGGCAAAAGTGTGGTCTTATAAACTGTTTTAGGCCCGACGTACGGTTAAATAAATCCCTCTTGGCTTCTCAAAGATGATTACAAAGCGCAGCTGAATGGTTCCATGCGGTTATCAGATATTGTTTTAATAACAGCAAGTGTAGTAATAAAAAAAAATAATAAAAATAATAATAAAAATCGAGCAGTTCAATAAACCTTGTGATTGAATCGGGATTGAAGTTCCATTAGAAGTTTTATTATGTGCAGGATTAACCTTGCATATTAGCAAAATGAAGATTAAGCTCACAGTCGTTACAAAGACCATAAATAATAATCTCTGACAATCATATTTTCTGCATCATACATCTACATCTTACTGAACTGCTACAGCAAAACAACTTCAGATTTGTGTACGTGTGTTTCCTGTTCACGTCCCCGAATAAAAAGAATCACATTAGGGCAAAACCATCTCTGTTATCATCAGCGTGCTGCGGACAACATGACAACAATGTGTTTACCAAAGTTAGCAAAGCTTCAAAACCAAAACTCGTTGGCCATAAAGAACACGCTTGATCTTTTACGGAGGAAATTAGGTGGGAAAATGTTGACATTTGGCTTGAATAATGTGTCAGGTGCAGGAGTAAGATGAACTACAGACCATTTGACACCTTAATGTTGTCTGAAGACAAAAAGGTTTGGACTTTTTAATTGCTATTTCGTACATTAAGGCAGGGTTTCTACACTTTAGACATCTCTGAGCAATAAAGGGGAAAAGGTCTTTTATCAGTTCCTTTGGCATCTTGATGCCGAACACAATGAAAAAATCAGTCCATGTCTGTTTCAGGTACTCCATTGTATTTCTGTCACTTTATGTTAAAACTGTAATTCTGAACTATTTTACAATAATACGTGTGATTATTATAATTATATTTTTTTGTTCCGTGTAATGATTTTTTGGTCCATTACAGAAAAAGGATCGTCTGTTTAACAAACTGAATCTAAATAGTTTGCTTTTTACCAAACAGTTGAGTTTAAAAGCCAGTACGTATAAAATAAATTGGATTTCCCCAATTTAGAGGTTGTTATGTATCGCAAAATGCCAATTTTGACTTGTAGATTTATCATCTACTTGATACCAAGATGTGTTAACATTTATATTGTTAAATTCTGCTTTACAATCACATGGTTTTCAAATGGCAATCAGCACATGCTGTACTTCTGATATTTGACCAGTAAGAGGTGCTTGAGCTCCTAAATGAGATTTCTGGAAGTACTGCTACTCTCAAGGTCTCGCTCTGTATCTGAATAATTTTTTAAACCACTATAAAATAAAATCTGATTAAGTATATTCACTATCTAGCTATTCAGCTGCATATGCATTGACAATCTTTACCAATAAAGATGAAGACTCAGCATCTCCCACCTTGATGTACATTACCTCAGACAATGAAACGTCATAAAGTCCAGCAGTTGAGGCATAATTGCCTCCTTCATGTGCAAATGTTTGCACTCGTGGCCTTGAATCGCTCCAGATGTGTTTATCTAAATAGTTTGTTTAATAACAGGAGCCCAATAGTGACAAAAGAGTCTCAGAAATATTGGATCACACCGGCTCCTTTAAATCGGTTAATAGTTAGATTCTCCACCCAGACTTTTAATTAATTCATTTTCCAATAAGAGACACAATGCAGAACCCACAACGTTAAAGATGAGTTTGACTAATGTATTTTCCTCAAATTTTCTTTAAATATTACAAAAATATCTTTAGTATAGCTGATTTTGTTGTAGTTGTTAAAGTGGAAATCGGATGTGGTTACAGTCCTTTAGGTCGACCATTTTAACACCTCCATTGACCAAAGAAACTCTAGGGCCAGCATTCCTGGAAATGAGTTCCAGTTCCCAACGCTGACTGTATCTGCATCCTACGCGTTCTGTAATGTTTAATTAGGTCCGATTCTCATGACTGGTTCAGTTTGCTGACTTGTTGACACTTGTGCTTTGTCTCTTATCATAGAAGGCACAGTTTTATAGTGTTGCTTCAAAGTGTGCAATCCCTGTTCATTCCAAGCAAACTATGGGCGAATCAAAGAGGCCCAAAGAGTGAGATGTATCCTCTTGACCACCTTCCATTGTGCTGAGAAGCTCCAGGAACAGAAACAGTGGAGGGTCAAGATGATGATCGGCAGTAAAAGCCACAACACATGGATGTTGTTTCAACCCCCCCACCTGCAGTTACTCGATTGATTCACAAAGCCGCAGCTGGGTTGGACCAAATTGTTTTAACACTTTAGCAATTCTAGGACAGATGTTTGTCTGTCTGTCGTCTGTGTGCCCGACCTCACATGTACACAACATCCCCCCCCCCCCCCTTAATCAGAGGACAGGAGGGATGTGTCTTTTTCTTCTTCTTCTTCTTCTTCTTCTATGATTCATCATGTTCATGCATTGTATCTTTCTGTGTGTGTGTGTGTCTCTCTCTCTCTCTCTCTCTCTCTCCCCCTCCCTCCCCTCTCTACCTCTCCTCCCTGGTCGTCCTCTGCGGGCCTGCTGCTCTCTGCTGCAGAGACGGGCTGCGTGACGTCAGCAGAGGCTGGAGCGGCTCCTCGGTTGAAGCGGAGAAAAAAAAATGGGGAGAAGATTGCGAGGTGAGTGTAAGAATGCACATTTCTGTCATTTCCTAACCCCCTTTTCTTCTTATCGAAAACGCGTCGGCGTGAGTTTGTGTGCGCCCCTGTGTGCGTGCGCGCGCGCGCGTGTGTGTGTGTTAGCAATGATCGCTCCATTGACTCCGCTGCTCCCGTGCAACACATTTACGCAACGAGTCCGGTGCAGCGATCGGGCCAGTGCCTCTGTGGGAAAAGGGAGGAAATCGGCCTCATGCAGGGCTGTCACCCCCCTCCCCCCCCTCCCCCTTATTTTCCTCCCGAGAGAGAGCCCATCAGCCCGACTCCAGGCCCGTGTGCGCGTCTACAGTCACCGCGGCTCGTCCACACCCACATGGCCGCTTGTGGTTGATCCATGTGCAAGCGCACATCCGAGCGCCAGTGGGGTTTTATTCCGTTTGTTTTGGCGCAGAACGCGCTGGTGTTAACTGTCACGTCGGTCCATCGGGAGCCTGAACCGAAGGGGGAAGAGAGGTGGGAAGAGAGGTGGGGGGGCTTTGAACCGGCCTGTTTGTCCCGGATGTGCGAGGGTTACTCGCCGATATATAATTAAATAAATCTAAAAATGAGCACCAGAAACGATGTGAGCATGAAAACAAACAAACGAATGTGTTCTTGCTGCCACGCTGAAGCCCATTTGGGGCTCTTAATATTCATCTGAGCACAGTAGTAATATTCCCATGGGATGCCTCTCGTGAGCAGCACACACATGCATACACACGCACACACACGCACACACATGCACAAGTGGCTGTCAGGCTGTCATGTGAGTCAGTGGGCCGTGGCCTGTAGTTCACTGTGGAAGTGGGAGCAGTCATTGGGTGGCTACAGGAGTAAATGCAGAGAATGAAGATGTTGGGTGAGATATTGTGTGTATACAGTGAGTAGGACTCGCGTCTGCCCGTCTTCTCCACCCACTGGACTGACTTTGTGACGGCGTACCTGCAGTTTGTCCCCGCAGACAAATGGCGTCCTAATGAACACGTTGTGTGCTGATTGTTTTACCAGTTATTGTGCAGTACTTGGATATTCATTGTAGTGTTTGCGTGTTTACGTCACTTTGTGTATGTGTTTTCATTCAGTATGCAGTGCACCCCACATTCATTACCCACAATGCCACAGCAGATAGAAATCCTCAGCTGAACACTTGTCTTAAAAATATTCTATGTGTGCTGTTTTAAGGACAGCAGGGAAAGTTGTGTACATTTTTACTAATCATTGACACATGTTTATCTTTCTATGCATCCATCTATCATCCATCTATCATCCATCCATCCATCTATCATCCATCTATCCATCCATATATACATCTGTGAATGTGAGCTTCTGGATGTATTCAGACAGTTCACGCTAGCAACCCTCACACTGTTATTCACATATTCTAGTGGCGTTTCGGTGCTGGTGATGGTGCCAGACACTAAAGAAACAATGTATTGTTCTAAAATAGCAATCTTTAAGACATAGAAATCTTTGTCTTTTAAGACATTTATTCACAAATGTATGGTTTAATTGAATATAAATATTCCAAAACAAAGAAAATTATCACATGTCAAGTTTTAAACTTGTTGTTTAGATGTTATCCATCCAGTTTTTCCTGTAATCATCACATTTACCACTTGCTATGTCTCACTATCCACTATAATATAAACACAGGAGTGTGTGTGTGTGCTCATGCACAGCTGGCTCAGGCATTCACAGGTTGCTCTGTTATTGTTGCAGCTGCCTGTAAAATGCTGTTTGTCCGACCATCACTGAGAGAACAAGGATCAGGCTCATGGTTCTGGCCGGAGACTAAATGCAAAAAAAAAAAATACTGACATGAATGTGTAAACTGCCCTGGTGCAATATTTACTAACTCTTTGTTATTATTTTAGAGGTTTAAAACGCTTCAATAATGACATACCATCTCATTTGAAGCCCCGCCCTTGTTAGCTGGAGCTCTATAAACAGGCCCAGTTGAAATAGGGAATATTTAATCTGCATTGGCACTCACACTCCTCTACCAGCAACTTCTATATCATGCCAACACAGGCTCCGGATTATCGAGTATGAGCCGTTAGACAGGCGAAATGCAGTCACAAGTCATAGAGGCCATTTTCTCCGTCCTTTTCCACACGTGTCCTCAGAAGCCGGGTCCCCAGTCTTGTTTTGGCCCACAGGCTGCGTAATGTACAGAAGAGGCTTGCTCGTGTTCTTTTAAGAGGAAAATAATCCTGTTCAGCTCTGACTAAATAAGATATTGTAGCGTTCCTCGATGGAAGTGATAGATGTGGAAGCATATAGGAGATATATCGGAGAGGGCTCAATGCATAGGCAGCAGTTGCAGTGATTGATAAATAATAATAATAAATGCCTAGTAAATACTTATTATTGGCTCTTACCTGTTGACAAAAATGTAAGATTCATCTTTTTTTTAATACATTCCTTCATTAACTTGTAATCTAAAGCCTTGTCCGTGCAAATAAGCCAGTCAAATGTATTTTTATGAATATAGTATATGCTGTCACAGTGATCACACAAGGAACCACTGCTCTCAGTGGCAAAAACAACTTCCCCTGCTGGCATGCATTGTCGAAGTATGTACACCGGAGGATAATTGTTTCTGCTTGGATCAATAGCAGACGGCGGCGAGCCGGGGAACAAGTCGGTCCATCTCGTGCCGAACTGAGCTTCCATAACGAGGCTCATTCGTCGTCACTCCAGTGAGAGAGAGAGAGAGAGAGAGCTGTGCGCCTTCAGCTAAACTTTTATGTTCAGTCTCACCTGTCAACGGAATGTTTATACTCCTTCAATCTTCCGTTGGCTCTTGCGCATTCATAAAGTAAGGGCTCAATGACAGAGAGCCGCTAAACATTCGGCATCAATAACTTTCATGAACAGTCATAAATCCGCCCTGTGATTGTCCAGTGACCTGTGCAGGGGGAACCCGTCCCCGAGCCCCCTTCATTCACAAAATGAAGCGTTTCAAATAATGAATGGTTGAATAAATGTAAATTACATTACATTACAGGTCATTTAGCAGACGCTTTTATCCAAAGCAACGTACATTACACTTTTAACCCATGGCTTTTTCACATTTTGCCCAGGGAGCAATTAGGGGTTAGGTGTCTTGCTCAGGGACACTTCGACATGGTACATGGGGCAGCCTGGAATCGAACCACCAACCTTGTGCTTCCCAGCACACCTTCTCTAACCCCTGCGCCACGACGACCCTGGTAAATCCACCAGGCACTCTATTAGCTCTATTTTAGCTCTATAACATAACGCTGCAGATTCATTTGCTAATTCGTCGTCATTTGATACGTTGTCATTATGAACATGGCGGGTTTTCGCCTCTTTCTATTTGTCTTTCTACATTGAGTTTGTCTCCCAAGCTAAGTTGCAGTAATGCCATGTTGCCAAGAAAAAGACTCCTTTAGCCTTTTAGACCTGACGCATGAGGATAAACACACATCTTGTAATTGTTAGACAAGGATAATGTTATTTCTGTTGCTTATTTTGATTTGATTCCTGCTTGTGAGATTGTCCTGTCATGGCAGTCCTATGGCTTTTTCCCACACTAACATACTCTGACAGGCTCATGTAGGCATCTAGAAGGCATCTGGAGCTTTTACTAAACCTCTCATTCAGTGTCTAAAGGAGTCTGTGTATTGTAATGCAGCTTGTGCAGGGAGCATCTTGCAGCTTTGGACAGTTCTCGTCCATTTTTGGCTATTTTCAAAATGGTTGCAGTCAATCTGGTGGTCATTCTACATTGATGCTATGCATTTCTCCGCATAGGGCTTTATTTACCTGGACAATCCAAGTCTTTTTCATGGCTTTTACTGGGAATTATTGATGTGTGATTGGGATCAGCATATGAGAAACATCACAAATACCAGTTCCATTGTTGGAGTGCAGGTCCATGCTGGTCTCACGCCTCTCATAAAGCCTCCAGTGCTGTGAACAGCAGCTCACGGCTGGTTCAGCTCTGCAGCATCTCTGGTGGAAGCTTTGCAGGGGAGCGACATGAATGCTGCGATGCACCTTGACTCACTCAGCTCTTCACACCTCCGAGCAAAACAAATGTGAGAGAGCTCGAGAAGCGGAGCGACATTTGGTTTGGTTTAACCCTGTGAATTTTATAACTTATGAATAAATTCAGACCGAAGTTGCCGTTCAAACATTTTTTGAGCTGAACTTTTGGGAGTCACGTCATCAGTGCAGCCTGAGGGCCCGGCGGATGAATTCAGATGCATTGACTACAAGGGTACAAGGGTTATTGTGCATCTACGGTGATGTTTTTAAACCCTTTTATCAAATGTAACCCCAATTTAGTCAGACACCCACATCACAGATTTAAACCATCTATAGACAATAGTTACACAATTAGATTTGAAAAAACCCTCAGCTGTCTGAAGGAGCTGCGAGGATTCATGAGGAGAACTGACTCCCTCTTAATAAACACATGAATGGACATTTAATCTCAGTTTAGTCAACACAACTATACAGCACACAAGGAGGAGGTTGGAGCAGCTATCTCGGGCTGGACTGTTGTGCTCTGCTCCAACTGCAGAAACGCGACACCTCCTCGTAGTTGTGTTATTAGTTCCCCTGGTCAGGGATGGGTTAGGCAAAGTAACGCTAAAACAATCTGCAATATTCCCTGCGCATCTCCTTCTAGTCAATAGACCATCTGTACTTACAATTATTTGAGAAGCGGGCATTTAAAATGAAATTACATATCTATTTTGTAGCTTATTTTAGTGTGTTTAGAAAGCATCCTTGCCAATGTTAATTGGCTCACAGACATGAGCCTGCTTAGATCTGGTAAATCAAGACCATCATAAAATGTCCAATGATTAGTATTCAAGCGCGTAGCATAGCGCATTACTGCGGGTGTTCGTTTTTAAGATGGACAGGTGAGTAAAATAGACTTAAAAAGAGAGGCCTTTAGTAGGAGAGACAGAAAGGAATCACCCCCCGGAGACGGTTGAAACGTAGCCGCTGTCATTTGCTCTTAAAGAGACCTAGATTAGACAGAGCCAGGCTGGACAAATCAGGGCATTTGTATATAGATGAGTCCCATTCCCCCCAAATAAAACAGCTCAAATACAGCTGTGCACTCAACCGATAGCCGGTGGCCACATACCTCATTTCATACACCGCAATTCAAATGTAAAACAGCATGTCATATAGGGAGGCACTGAAATTAGTATGAATGTGAATCTGTAATGGTATCGGATTTTTTATTTTTTTTTAAACATCCAATTCTGCTCGAGAGTCATTACCTCGACATGAAATGTTTCCAGCTGTGTCCCAACAGGTCTTTGATGGCTGATGCAGGCCCTAAATATAAAAATCATATTGAGTACATTTGTAATACTGTTAAGTACACAGAAGCCTTGAAATTATTACTGTGGGCTTGTTTGTTTTTGATTAGGACTGAGTGATGGATGTAATCAATGGTAAATGGCCCACGTTTATGAAGTGATTTTTGTGTGTTTAAAATAAGCCTCTCATTCACCTACGCACAACTGCTAATGCAAACAGCTGGCCGAGCCCTCAGCAGCAATCAGTGATCAGTGCTTCTCTCATCTCGTCAATATATGTATATAAATGTGATTGAGCTCATTTTGTTTGCCATGTTTATTTAGGCAAGAGGACTTTTTCTTCTTTAAACTCCAAACATTCCACGGAAAGTTAGAAGTTCCTCCTTTTCCTTTTTTTTGGTTTACAAAGTTTTGCAGCTTCCCTCGGACCAACAAACATCTGCGATAATGATCATAATGTTTAGTGATGATTCAATCAATCAATTTAGTCTAAATATTTGCTCGCTAGCAGTCTTCTTCCTCCCTACACACGTCACGAGATTGAGATTATAGAATAAATGCTGTTGTTACCACAGCAACGACTGGTTTCACTGCAAATAATCTTTTTTTTTTACAAAAAGTTGCTGTCCCCTCCTAGTGTTGGAGCTTCGTCTAAAATGAAATCTCCTGTCTTTCTTCGGTGCAGGTAGAAATGAGGGAAGCTGAATAACGTTGACTATTTACTTATCACAATAACACGTTAAAGGAAGACCTTTGTGATTCCTCAACCAAGCTCCATCGGCAAGGTGTGACGTACAGCATCCAAACGGCTTCCTTTCCTTCCATTTCCTGCCCGGTTAACTACCTCGCTTTTTAATTTTACGCAGACGGGAATCCCTGCTATCTGCGGCGTGGTGACTGGCTCTGTGCAACTCTCCTCTGTTAATAACTGGGCATGGCGGGCCAGTGCACTCGCTGTTCCAGCCTCACCAGACTTCTAATGACAGTCTTGGTGACTTTCGGGGCTTCCCCCGCGTTTAGGCCCTCTGAGAAGAACCGTCTCGGTGTCTGTGATTTGTGCCTGCCTGCCTGCTTCTCTCGTTAATGGCCGCTGTGAGATGATATGAGAGGATCAGTTCCGGTTCAAGCGTCCGTGTAGAGGTGTTGAAACATCGGCTGTACTTGGATGCGTGTGGGAACCGCGTTGTTCACCGATCCTGGTTGAAGGCTTTAATTGAATTCTATAGAAATAACACTATCAATACTCCACGATCAGGATCTTTGTTTCATTTTGTCCGGCACGATTTATTTTTCTTTTATGAGTATTATTAGGATATATTATTATAAGAGGACCCAACTCAGATAGCAGATCCCCTTTTAAAGAACTTTGCCCATCTGACCCCATAGACTTCAGATTAAGAAACGATGTTGCCGATAACAAGCACTCTCACTAATGGAGCTACCTCCTTTTCCCGACTCCTCTCCCAGTCTTCCTCTGAGTATTCTAGAGTACAAAGTGCAGAGGTCTGCTTTTTAACCCTTGGTAAAAGGCAGGTTTCATGTTTCTCAACCACCAAACCCAAAGATGAATGTTCCTACAGTCCAGACACGGCAAGCTAGATAGTAAACAGCGCCTCCTCATTCTATTCCTGATCAATCCATACAAACATTTATAATAGTAATAGTAATAGTAATAGTGTGCAATCCTACGAATAATCACATTTTAAAAAGATGCCTCAGAATGCTAAGAACATGCTCTTAACATTATGACAGGTTCATAATGTCATGTGAATTTAAACATTTACGTATAGAACTTGATTAAGTTCCCTTCCATTCGATGTTGTACCAAAATTCACAGTAAAAAAAACAAACTAAATCTAATGCAGACTTTCTCCCTCTCTCTGTAGGACCTCAGACAGAGGAACCATGACAGATGAAGTGAAAGGACCAGTTGAACGGTTCCACAATGGTCGGTCATGTGACTCGGCCGGCCTCCTCCACTAGCGCACGGCAAACACTTCCTCCCACTAACTTGCCGTCGCCGCCTTGTCGTCCAGTTTTCACCATGAGAGGATCTGTCAGGCGCTCGACCTCTGTGCCCTGGTACTGGCGCCGCTGTTGTGCCGCGTGAGCGCCGTCCCCCCCCCCCCCACCCCCCCTCTCCGGCAGTGGCTGCACTGGAATGGCCTCTCTGGACCTGCCGTACCGCTGTCCTCGCTGCGGGGAGCACAAGCGCTTCCGGAGCCTGTCGTCCCTGCGCGCCCACCTGGAGTACAACCACACGTACGAGACCCTCTACGTCCTCTCCAAATCCAACAGCGTGTGTGACGCCGCCGCCCTGCTGCCGCTGGTGGCCGAGGGAGGCCTCCTCGCGCCCGCCAACAACAACGACCCGTTCGAGCCGCTGCGACCCTCGGCCCTGAGGGAGCGGCGCTTCCCTTGTCGCGAGCTTCCCTGTGCGGACGACTTGAGTCTGACGCCGGCCAACTCCAACGCCGCGGCTCGGTACATTCCCAATGTGGAGTTTCCCCTGGGGGAGATTTTTATGAAGAAAGCTATGTCGTCCGCGGACCCCGGTCCCCACGGCAACCCCAGCACAGCTGTGGCAGTGGCGGCCAATGTAGCGGCCAGCGCTGTGGAGGCGGCCTACGAGGAGGGCCTGGCCAGGCTGAAGGCGCGGGCGTTTGAACGACTGGAGCTGGACGAGCGGCTCGACAAGCTGTCTGAAGAGGTCAATGCGGGCATTTCGGGGGTCAGAGTCAGCTCGGCTCTCCGGAGCGATCAATAAACTAACGCGCAACAGAGGACACATTTCATCAGAGTTTCAGTCTTGGAAACTAAAACTCAAAAATTCTATAATTCGAGCACTTTCTTGTGCAGGTCAAGACAACCGTTACTGTTACAATTTCAGATACAGATACATCTGAAATTGCAGAACATTGCAGATGTTTTTCAGCATATATTACCATAATAAATAAAGTCATATTGCCTTCTGGTTAGTGGTAGTAGACAATCTAGAGATTTAATATGTTCACTTGTGCTTTCATCTTGGAGAGTCCATTAGGACTTTGAGTATTATTTAGCAACTTATTTAGGAAACATCACATTAAAGGAGCTGTAAGTGTAGGTGTATGCGTATGCTAAACGTAGATATGAGGAGATGTTCACTGACGGAAGTTAACGGCCCAATTTGCGAAACCGGTCATGTCCCTCACAATGCGGTGATCACGGCGGGACGTAAAGACACTCAAGTGCCTCTTGTCTTGTAGGTGGAGCAGAAAATAGCGGCCCGCGTAGGTCGTCTTCAGTCGGAGCTGGAGAGGAAGAGCTCGGAGCTGGAGCGGGCCAAGCTGGAGAGCGAACGGCTGAGCCAGGAGAAACAAGACCTGGAGGACAAGGCCTCCGAGCTCTCTCGACAGGTGGACGTCTCTGTGGAAATGCTGGCCAACCTCAAACAGGACCTGGTGAACAAGGAGCAGGAGCTCAACCACAAACAACAGTAAGTGACACGCGGGCTCCTCAGACCTCGTGGCGTGCGTTCCTTACTCCTCAGAATATATATTTTCCATTAGAGGTTGACTCTCGATAATGTAGTGATCATCTACTTCAAAGGTTGCAGCTTCTAAAAAGTCTGCTGGGCCTGTCAAGCCAATGGGATACCTTTCAGTTTTGGGGCCGTTTGTTAGAAAAAGGAAGATGTTGCCTTAATTGTCGTTTAAATGAATCCATAGTTGCAGCCCACACTGCTCATTGTTTGTGCGCTCTTCCTTTCACTAAACACATGGCCATGCAACCACTCACACACACTCCCCTCCTCTCCTCCACCTCTACCTATTTGTTGATGGTATTATTCTCTGTAGCATGCGCCCGCCAGATGTGGTCTGCATCTGTCCCGCTGCTCTCTCCATGCACCAGTGCCTTGCAGGCCGGTTGGTGGCTCATGCTGAATGGAGCGGCCTCTCTCTCTCTCTCTCTCTCTCTCTCTCTCTCTCTCTCTCTCTCTCTCTCTCTCTCTCTCGGAGCAGTCTGTCCATAAAGCTGCCATGCGGCTTCTTGAACCAGTTGAAAGTACGGCTGCTTTAAATAGAAGAGGCGATTGGATATAATTCACAGAGTGGTGATGAAAGTTACTGCTGGCTCTGAATCTGACAAACGTGATTTAGAGCCGGTCCCCACATTGGAACAAAGAGTGAGTGAGAGCAGGCTTTATTTTTCATGTTTTCAGAGCTTTTATTTTAATTAATCCCAGAGTTATTTATTGTGTGCTCCAAACATTGAGGCTATTTTCAGTTTGACAGGCCAGGGAATATACGTATATACAATGTATTATGTTTATTAAATCCATCTTAAAATGGAAGGTAATAAATAAAGGTATTTCACAAAATGGTTTACCTTTTTCTCTCTCTCAAATGATGGTTTTGGCCGTGGTCTTGGCCGGTTGCCTCTCCCATCACCTTGATCAGAAGTGTTGTGGATGACGTGTAAATGGATAAAAGCAGATTGTGTTATAGTCGTGAATTAATAGACTGAGGACCTGCCCCAATCCTCCTAAAGGAGTAAAACCTGCAAAATGCCGCACAAATTACATTAATGTGTAGTAAGTAATTTTATAGCTGATGCAATCACAATGGCATGCTCTTTGCCTTTTTGCATCAATTGTCTTTGATCAGGTCACCATCAGATTTTGACAGGTGTTGCCGAATGGGGACATGAGGACAGTCAGCCCAATGTTTTCAGCTTCCTGCGGGTTTTTGTCAATTTCTTTTATGAGGCGTCTAATCTCACAACAAACACCCAAATGCAATGTGCAGTTCAAGCAAAAAGCGAATGAACACAGCCATTTAAAACTATTATTAAAGATGAAATAGATCTACCTCATACCTCATGTCACATTCACCTGTGGAAAAGACATTGTCCATGAACATTAAAAGCAGTTCAAGTCAATGAACGGCAATCATTGCGGTAAGAAAGAAATAATTGGATGGTTTGATTACAGCGGACATGAGGTTTATTTCTTTTTTGTTGAAGAATTTGATAAATTAGTTGCTGGGAGGTAAACAGAATTTGAACTAATTTATCAGAAATACCTCAAGAATAAATTGCCATCCAGCTTTAATAGTAAGACATTATTTTTATTATCCCCGTCAGGAGCTATCCATTAAGTAGGTCATCTTGGCTCCTGCTGATCAACTCACAAAAAGAGCTTTGTGTCAGCTTCACTGGTAATATTAGAAGTTGAGCGGCTGATCTTGTGATATGAAGATCAAAATAAGAATTACACCGCAGGAAAAGCACGCTTTTCTTCAATTCAGTCCCGCCCCTCTGGTATGAAGGGTAAAGTAGCTATGATCATTTCTTCCAAAACTGGTGGCATCAGACTGGGATGTTCTTACTCCTAAAAGGCCGTGGGCTGAATAACTGCCTCCCAGCTATGCAAGCAACCCAGGCTCCCTCTTTCTCTCTCACACACACACTTTTCCTGTGGCGTTCTCCCTCAGGAGCAGCTGGCAGTCAAACAGTAAGCTCATTCAAGACTCCAAAATACAGTCTGAGAAGGAAAAAGAGCATCACAGTGGATGAATGTTCAGCAGGGTTGATGACGAAGCAGAAAGCAAAGGAAAACATAGAGCGACAGAGTCAGCGAGTGACTTTGTGCAGTCTTCGAAACTCCTTCAAGGAGATATGCATCATGTAGTTCTGTATTAGTGGTGTCAAGTGCTGAAAAAGCGAGACGCCTAATCGGGAGTTGCTATGACAACCAGAGGAGACTCCCACGAGCTGGCTTCTGCTGCGAGCAGCGCAATGCATAAATATATGACACAACATAATCGTTTATTCTGCCCTAAGAAACGCTGTGCATGTTTTTCGAAGAGCATACAAAATGCCTCAGGTACATTTATGCTTATCGGCTTCGTCCTCATCATAATGTACAGTTCAATTAGTAGCATTATTATTGTGTTAACGCATTCATTAATGTGGCGAAAAGGAAAAAGCATCTTTTTTTAAATTTTAAATCTCTTTTTCGGTTGAGTTGATGGAACCAAAGTCATTTGTAACCACTAATGTTGTGTTTTCAATACACACAAGACGTGACAACATGTGTGAGGATGAAAGTTCTCAAAGTTAAGGTTAGTCATTCAAAAATAACTCATCAGTTTTCATCCTGCATGTACAGTAGCTGTTATTTCTTACTTCTGTAACCCAGCTAATGCGTTTCTCCAAATGAACTGTAGCTCGGAATGTGACTCTTGTAATATAAGTTGTTTTGCTACAGACTAGATAAAGCGTTAATGTCCTGGCAGTAGCTTATAGCTTTGGTTTTATATTCGATTTGATTAAATTGATTTTTAGGTTGATGTCAAAGAAATATTTTAACTGCTACTGTGTGTTTGCATTCATTAAAGTGTGCAACACATCACCATTAAATTAAATAATAATAATAAAATAATTTTGTGATTAATCTGGATTAATTGTTAAAGGAAATCATGCCAATAATCGCAATGAAAAATCGTTGCCCAGTACTGCTTATTAATAAACAAACACCAACAAACAATACTGATTAAAAAACACTGCATGCTCATTCTGTAGCAGTCACTGAAAGAACATAATGATAAACATTAGACCACATTGTGGCAGTCAAAGCTGAATTAATAAGAGAGTCCCTCAAGCATGCATGTTAAGTAGTTTGATAACAGCTGGAATAAATGAGCAGCATCTGTAATTAGCGAAAACTGGAGCCTGAAAAAATATTGTGAATGGTGCTACGTTTATCTCCATCAATGCGCCACAGACCAAAAACTGGAACCTCATTGTCTTTCACGAGAATCTGTTGAATACCGTTATAATCTTTCCAGCCATTAGTTGTTCAATGACATCCAAAACATTTATTTAGTTTCCTAGATATTCACTAATCGCTAATATGCCAGCTGTTGTAATATTGTTCCAGTAGATCATATTATAGAGCTATTTCTAATTAACGGATCTACAGTTTGTGATCTTTTCCACTCTTGGATATGATGGCTGACCTTACTGCTTCTGCAGGAGGACATCGTAGTGTATGCTGCCAGAATACAAGGCGCTGGATCTTTTAATGTTTAATTTTTTATCTTCCCGGTTGAAAGGTTTGAGATATGCAGGTTGATGCTACAGTCATTAATACTCCAATCCTGGCCCAAGTTAAAGATCAAACCATTTGTCAACTAAGTGATGTAAATGTGCATGAGTTAGACAAGAGGCTGCACACAACACACACACACACACACACACACACACACACACACACACACACACACACACAGACACACACCCACACCTGAAGCTTGACCCATTCCTACAACCATCTGTGATAAATTAAGTGTGGCCAGTGCCGCATAAGGAAGCTGAAGGCTTCATAGAGTCACTGTGGCTCCCTTGAAAAAAACTATCTATGCAAAGTGAAGGTGTCAGTGCAGAGAGAGAACTCGCCTCATTGACGCCGGTGTCACAGAGAGAGGAGCATCAAGCATTAGCGCGGCAAGACCTCTCTCAAATGAAAATAAACCAGAGTAAGGACGTGACCTGCAATACATCTGAGAATGTAGACTTGAGAAATGAGTTTGAGCTCTAATAATTGATTCTTTGTTTTCATACAATGTAATAAAGCTTTGTGTATTTCAAAATATGTCAAAGCATTGGAACGTGTAGTAATATTTGTCCAATTTGTCAATTGTAGTATTGGTGCCAAACACTTTAGCGCTACTAAAAATGATAAATGTTCATGTTCGTTGTTCATTGTTTTCATGTCAAATTTTCAAAGATTAATACTTGACACATACTGTCTTACAGTAATAGGATTAGCTGTCTACATATAGATACATACAATGGCAGTGTAGAGTTTAGGGAGAATCATGCTCTGTGGAAAACAAAGTGCATACATAGAAACCACATTCAGCAATATTAAGTGAAATATACAAAAAGAGGGTTCTGATGATTCACTGAATTTCAGCCTTTAGAGCGAGCAGGATTTATGAGCGGAGGGCTGTTCACGTCCATCATTAGACAGAAGACATTGATGTGCGTGTCCTTGAGGCTGGATGAAAGGCTTTTGAAAAGGAAGGAAAAGGGAGACATCAAGGATGATGCAGACTCATTCAGTGGATGAGTCTGTTTTCTTTCTCATTTTGTTAAATCTCACATGAAAGGTTAAAGTAACCAGTGCACTGTTAGCAGATGCACTGTGGTCATAAGCGTGTGAGAATGTACTGCGGTTTAGTCAGTTGAAATTAATGGCACATCAACTGATGAATGATTTTCAAGCAGGGGATAGTATTCTTCAGCCTCTTACATTTGAGATTTTCATTTTTTGGGAAAATGGGGGTTCTGGGACATTTGTCATAATTTGTAGTTGTTATGCCATGCAGAGACACTATGTGACTACTTAATTAAAGATATTATATTCACTTCAAAAATACAGCAATTGAAATTGAAGACTGAAGTGTAACAGTGTGAAGGTGGCAGTAAATCGAATGTGGTCTAAACAGTGTTGTAAAGGTGCATGACAAAATATAAAGTTAAACAAACTAAAGCCATATGACAAAACCAAATGAAAGATATCTTTAAAGAAAAGCAGAGAGCTGCAGTCTGGAAAACTACTACATATTGTCAAAGATACGTCTTTTTTCCCCCAGTTGCACCTCTGCAAAGCGATACAGTACAAAACCTCACCGGCATCATACAACATTTATTTTTGCCGGGTTATTCTCTGTTTTTGAGAGACATTTTCTCCCATAATGGTATATTGATCATTTGTGTCAATGCTCCTTGCTGTTCGGGTGACCCAGCCTCAGATGAGAAAGAACTGATTCAACAGTAAAATATTTACTCTCCCACGATTGATCGTCGGAGCCGAGATGTGGGTCAGCGGTTTCTTTGGAGAACGGTCATGCTTTTTCTTTTTCTTTTCACTCAGCCTGCATCATCTTCATCATCCCTTCTCTCCCCCTCTCATCCTTGTCCGTCTCACATCCCGTCCTTGTGTAGCGGATCCCTCTTCACATCTCCTCGTGCCGGCGTTCTCTTTGTGTGTTTTTGTGTGATGCGTGCATATTTATGACATGATGAAGCAGGTGTCAAAACACAACGGGACACAGATGACGTCTGTGAAAGGAGCCTGACCTTCTTGTGTGTGTAACAATGAAACACTGGAGGCTCAGCTATTCATTATCTCTCTGGATATATGAAGTTGCATCAGTAAACGTAACTGTTAGCAAGCTGCCAGGGCTGCATTTAACAAGGCTGGAGCTTTTGAAAAGAAAAGAAGGCATCAGACTCAAAATCAATATAATTTCTAAAAATGTCTCATCGCCTTGTCATTCCCGGCGACTCAACAACCCGCGTGTTAATCCCCAAGAAAGATGGCGGTCCTCCTTGTAAGCTTCCCCAGCGTGTGGGTAAACACCCACAGACACGTTTGCCACCTTGAGGCTTTACTTCCGACGTGTTGGTTTGTGTCACGCTTTGAATGTGTGTGTGTGTCGCAAACAGGTTTGACAACAGGAAGCAGCCACATCCCATTCCGCTCTCCTCCTGTGACGAACCTCCCGTGTTTTGCTGCAGAGTTCTGTTTGCTCCGGGTTGTTTTTTTGCCTCTGCGGGGTTTTTCTTCACGGCAGCAATAAAGCGATAGTTGTATTTCATTACAGGCCGAACTAAAAACAGTGCTCTGTCTTTGTTCCTTTCTGTTTATCAGCTTGAATGAATGAGTGCAGAAGTTTGGCTTCATATAAATCAAAATATTAAATGTGCAATGTAAAAGGGATCTCTCACAGAGAGTCATATAAATATGAAACTTATGTTCCGTATTAATGTAAATAGTGATCATATTTAATTGTTTCACACCCGCCAAAATTGACGTTAAACTTAAACTAATTCATTGCGTTTTTTGGTAGTAACCATTTTGAAAGTACTAAACACAATGCATTAATTAATGCAAGTAATTTATGTGAAAGGATGTGTAATTTAGTGCAATTGTCATGACTGCGCTAAGTGTTGTGTACTTTAGGTCGAGGCGCTGTGCAGGTGTTACTACTTGAGGCTTGGTGTGCATGTGACCTTCATTTGAAGTTCTTTGTTAATTAACTCTTATCGGCGTCTCCACACGCCACCGGCTCATTATGTGGTTGAATCCAGAACTCACCTCCAGTCTGTATCTTCGGTGTGTCTCCTTTAAGTTCCCTGACCATACATTCTTTGTAATGCGCTGTCTGCATGTTGAAATCCCCTATTTCCTTTTCCAGAAGCGAGAGAGAGAGTTTACGGTTGGTTGAAGATGAGGTAATTGGAAGAGCTTGTAGCCGAGACAGTTTACGTCTCATGCAAACACACACATTCTTTGTGTTTTCTCTGTAAACGTCCACAGTAGCGAAGTAGTGTACAGTAACACGAAGTTCCTTCCATTCTACCCTGCAGTTTAACACCTTTATGGAGTGACATGTTTCCTCTTCATCCTTGCCGGAGGATAGGAAAAGTTAAGCCAGATGGTAAACCATTTTGATCACAGAATGCTCCCGTTTCAAGAAAATTCCCCTTAAGTTAATGTGGGCTATTACTGTTTTTGGATGGATCCTGGATTCACAATGGTTAGCAGTAATGGATGTTTGACATCAGTTAGATCTAAAAGTATCCGCCCCTGTAAGCAGCCTGGCTTATTTCATGAGCTCCAATCATTTTAAATTGGAGGGACCGAGATTGTCCGTCCCCGTTTTCTCTCTGCGGCGAGTCAGTCTGGAACTTTGTAATGATTCATTTAGCTTTTTCAGATGTCTTGTTAAGTTGTGCTTCCTGCATTGCTTAGGCAGTACACACTGTTTATAAGGACACAAACCCAAAGAAGGTGCCATATGGACACAGTTTCACATTGAAAGGCATGAGAAGGGAAGCCCTGTACGGCAGATGTGGGATCTTGGGTGGTGTTTCAGGAAAATGTCTGTCTGCATTTAAGTTATAGTACTTTACAAGAAGCAGTATTATTAATAGATATACCCCAAATATTCACAAACAATTTGGATAATTGATGGATTATCTGTCGATATCAAACAAAAAATGAATTTTAATCATTGAATTATTGTTTTGTGTTCTTGTGGTGTATTGTGAGTTTATATTGAGTCTATTAGTAGACATTTTTCATGGACTGAATAAACGATTTCTGGATCAATCACCCAAAGAAATGAACAACAAACACACAAGAGAAATTCTGAATTGTCAGATAAACACAATGTACACTAACCGCTCAGCACCGATTCTCAGACAGCCACAGTTAGCGACTTACGGGTGGAAGCGTGGGACATGTGGCAGCTAAAAAGCCAGATGTTTCCTTCAGGCGTCGGTAGAGACCAACAACAACTGAAAGAGGCGAAACTCTGGACTTAAATTCAATAAAGGTCCTCCGTAACTCTCTTAAAGAGGCAACTATCCGTTCACTATATCAACTTAAAATAGATTGACGCATATCCTAATGTGGTTTTCACATCTCGTTTCTACTGCCTCCAAGTGGCTACAAATACTCAGTCATTGCAGGTCGAAAGAATTAACGGAGCTGTATGAGCACAGTGCTCATATGATTCGTAATCCGATCTTGAACGTATTGAGTTAATATAATCCGAATAATAAAATCTGAACGTATAGGATTTTTTATTTTATCACGTGACCGTCATCATTTTTTTCCAGACGACACTGAACAAAAAAACACTGCAAGGAATGCTGAGGAATATACAGCGGGCCTCCAGGCCGCGGACGACCAACAATGTCTGAATTCCTGGTGTGTTTTCCTCTGTATCTGAGCAACACACTGTCCCTTAAAAGGACGGGAGCTTAGCCCTGCTGCGCCTGCAGCGGTATAAATATACAGCTGCTCTCTCACCCTCTATTCCTCTTCTCTCTCTCTCTCTACTCTATTTGTGATGGTATTGTGAACGTTTCTCTGTCGCCGAGCCTCGTAGTGTGTCGTCTCTGAAAAGCACAGCACGCCGTGTTCTGTGAGGTTTCTTTTTAAGTGTCCTGCGGCAAACGTTTAAAATCTCCAGTAAGCCAGATTGACTTTAAAATAAGCAAAAAACAACGCTGCCCTTCCCCGTCTCTGCCTTTTAGGGAAGTCGCCCAGATCGACCAGTTCCTCCAGGAGACGGCGGCGCGTGAGGCCAATGCCAAGGTGCGGCTGCAGCAGTTCATCGAGGAGCTGCTGGACCGAGCCGATCGCGCCGAAAAACAGCTGCAGATCATCAGCAGCTGCGGCAGCACGCCGAACGGCAGCCTGGGGCGCTGTAGCCTCCAGGCCTCCAAGGGCAATGGACGCCAGGTGAGGAAGTGATGTATTGACACGTCTCCTTGTGTCTTCCACACTGCGAAATGCACAGTGACATCATTTTATCATTAATAGATTTAAAGGAATTAAAGGACTTGAAGTCATTTTCTCATTGTCTGAGAAAAAAATCATGTTGAAACAGTTTATTTATTATTAGATCACATTGAACTGCACAATAATACAGAGAGACCAAATGCGCTTTAACTTTGTAGTACATTTTTGTTGAATAGTGCCTATGCCTTGATTATATTGACCCACAATGAAGCAGACTTAAGGTGGCCGAGAGGACAAGTCTACTCTTCTACTCTTCTCTAGTACGGTGACTCTCCATCACTTTCCCGAGTTTTCATACACCAGTAGGTTAAATTCAGTAATCTAAAATCACCTCTCTACACATACACAAGAAGAGAGTATGTTTGTGTGCTTGAGGTATTTTAAGTAATTAAGCTCATTTGTTTTTCTTCCTGTTCCAGGAACCATTCATTAGCTTCTTATTGACTCTACTAGAACAACCTAAATTTAGGCTTGCAGAGATGTTTTCATGAAGTCACAAGGCACGGTGACGCAATGGGTTATTTAATGAGTGCACATGTGGTAAAGATTGTTTATTTGCAATTTTGAGCAAAGCTGGACTCTGCTGCATGAAGTTGACGTTAACTAATTCTCTTCCTGGCCAATTAAACGCAGATTTGTTGTTCGATTCAATCCGTTCTGTTCTGATTAACGCTCACAGTTGGTCTGGATGAGGGAGGGTAGCACAAAGCCACAATGTGACACTCATGATAACCGCTTAGTGCACTCTAATGAAAAACTTCCTCGTGGTCCGGAAACTTGAGATCACGCCTTTGCCTTCGGGCTGTGTTCAGCTCCAACTGTGGAATTTCCCCCTCTTCTTTTGTGTCACAGCACGAGGACACAAACGTGGAAGCGTCTCTTAAATATGTAATTTTTAAGTTATTATCCAACATCTCTTGGAAAAAAGGGTGACCTGTTTCATTGCACAGACCTGTGCGCTGCCATGGAAACCAGTTCTTGAATCAGATGTAATGCTGTAAATATCTACCAGAGAGAAATGACAGAGCATTAACATGCCGCAAAGCTGCCAAAAATAGTTTAATGGAATTTTCCCAGCAAATCCGATTTAGTCAGATACATTTGAGATTGAGGTATTCTTCCCCCTAAACCATCCGACCTGCGATTGACCCAGAACACTGCCATCTATATTTAGATGCCATCTCTTTGCATTTAAACGTCAGTCGGTTTCCTGTGCAACCGTGAATAATCAAGATGACACGTACACGTGTGGAGTCACAGACGAGCCGGCACCTTGTTACACAGTGAAGGGAAGCCCGCAGATGTCACCCAACCAGCCTCACTCCCCGTCTCTCTGTCACGACATCAGCGAGGTCGCCATCATCTCCTAGGAGACCGATTTTTAGAGCCGCAGAAGCATTTTGGGACTGGCAGCGAGAGAAGCGATGGTTGGCTTTTTTCCTGCTCCCTCTCTGGTTCTTCTGCTCCATCTTCATGCTTCGGTCACAGGAAGTGGATGGTGGATTCAACCGTAGTATTTTATAAACCTCAGACAGAGAGACAACGCGAGAGATTGATAGAGAACTACTTAATTCGACTGCTGAAGGGGTTCCATTCATTTCTGGGAGATTTGTTCCTGTTGAGCTCTCACTGTGAGCTGGCCTTGCAAAAAGAGATGTTTGGCTGGTTTCGTCCTTGGTGCATTTTCACTGTTGGCACTAACCCAGAAATCAAGCTGAGTGAGTAGAAGCGGAGTAAAGAAAGCGAGAGAGGCAGCGACAGAGTCTGTGTTTGTGCACGTTATCCCTCTGTGGCACGATGCCAGTCTGGTACGCACAGTTCCACCTGACGACACTTCAAACACAAAACACTCCGTACCACTAACTTCAGTGCACAAGCACAGGAGTGAGGAGGTTTTTGCTCTCAGGCGAAGCGAGGGGGGAGAGTCAGGCTGCACACCCGCCATCAAATGCCCTTTAACAAAGATCTCCACTGCCTTAAATGCCACAGCCAAATATTGTCCTCCATCATTTTGTCCATCCGACAATTTGGAGCAGTCCACGGCCTCGCCTGATATGTAATGACATTTTTTATATAATTTATTCCATTATTTCAAATATATTTCTATTCTATACTTTCTTTCCCACTTCTAAAAGGCTGTTAAGTGGTGCTTTAGTTTAAAAACTTTCATTTTTAAGAATGAGAGTTGTCAAAATGTAATGACTTGATGGCATTTACTCGTAGCACTAATGCTCCACACAGAATGGACGCTTTCAGTTACGAGAGCTTTTCCTTTGTGGCCCCCTCGAGAGGAAATGATCACAATTATCTTAACAAGCTGTCAAGATCAGCTGTTATGTCTGATCATCATTAATCATCATAACTTCTCATTGTGCTGGAAAAGGGTTTGTTTGTTGGTGTTGCTGATACTGTCCCAAAGGCATTATAATGTACACGCTCAAACCTATAAACTGGAGTGATATCAAACCGTACCACTTAACACGGAGGAAATGTCTTTAATTTATGTCAGTTTTGATTATTTATTATTTATTGAGGCTGAGGTTTAAAGAAGCTTCCCGTTGTTACAGCAAAAGGCTGCTTCGTGATTTTATCGTCTTCCTCCAGCAAGTCTTAATTTTTTGTGCAGAGCCGACTAACTGCGACCACTTCTTTTAAAATAATTGCTTTTTCTGTCATGACATAATGCGAAATTATATTTTAGAAAAATGCTAACAAAGAAATTTGTAATTCCCACATTTCACGTTACCGCCACAGTAACAACGCTGCCATTAGCCCTTCAGAAGCTGACTAAGCACTCGAGCTTTGGGGTGTCTGAGGAAGCGGGCAGGTGTTGTGTAATTATTACTAACAGCTTTTCTTTCTGCGTGTCTGCGTCTTTCCAGAGAAACTCCAGCAACTCTGGGAGCACAAGAGGCATGTACCACGTGTCCGACCGGCGTTCCTCCCCCAGCACAGGGTCAGTCAGCACATTTACACGTCTGTCGATCCGTCTGTACTGAGGGACAAAAATAATAATACATTGTTGGCTCTTGGTGCACATCCTCTTTCTTACCCTGTGAAAGCCGATGTAGTGAAACAGTCTGTCAGTTGTGTTGAAAGGTAAACAGGACTAAATGTACCGCCAATGTTGCAGCAATTGGCCTTTGGGGTACAACATGTGTCAGCCATGTGACTGTCTGACCACACTTTGTATTAATAAAGAAAACTTTATGCAAAAACAATTATTAGATCACTGGATTGATCTATTCTTTGATAGAAAAAATGTTTTTAATCTATTTATTTTAACATTTGCTGGTTCCAGCTTTTCAAATGTGAGTTTTTTCTTGTTGTTATATAATATTACATAAATACAATGTGTTCACATCCATAAATTAAGATTTTGCTGTGCAGTATTGAACTGTGATACAATACATCCCGTTTTTCGCACGACTCTCATTCAGGACTGAGTTACAGGTCAGACGTCTCTCTGAACGTATTTCTGTTTCCCAGCTGGAGGTTTCAGACGCATGGCTGCACTATAGTACTCTGACTAACACAACTGTCATTGCCAGTTGGTATTTGAATGTGTTTCCTGACGTGACGTCACAGAGACCCTGTCAGGCCTTCCCCAATAAATCATCAGAGCACGACACATACAGTGGCACAACAACAAGACGTCTTCTGACTATTAAAAGTCATAATTCCAGTTAACAGTCAAACGTCTTCATGTGTCAATTTTACATCAAATTCCTCAAAAAGTTTGCTTTAACACAAATATATATATATATAGTTTGATCATAAATGTTGATAAATAAATTGATAAATGTATAATAGTGTGTGCAGGTTGATACGCACATATCACTTCAGAATATGAGGATTTTCCTCCTTTAAATGTCAACGTCTGTTTTTATTCTTCTGTGAATCAATTCAATTTCAAACACAACATCTAATTTCTTCTAATGAATAGTGAGCCTTTTTTACAATTTCTCTCCATACTTTATATCCTTAATTAGAAATTAGTAATCTTGATCTTCTCATAATTGGGATCAACTCATTACATCTCACTATTGATTTATTGCTGACAAATGTCAATGTCACAATGACCACAATGTTCTCTATAAATAGTTCGCCATTTGAAGGATTGGTTGCAACCTGAGCTTGAGACATTGTGGAAGATTTCTATTAAGATACAAAATGCAAAGACATCTTTGTTATCAAATTTCCATATTGATCATCAAGTTTTTTTTTTAACCATTTCTATATATTTTTGAAATAATCAGAAGATCATTATCCATAGTACAGTTTCTTCCCTTTTCCTGCAGAGCGTCGGGCCGGATCAAGTCCGTCTCACAGGGCTCCGGCGGTTACGACAGCGACAGCGTTGAGATGCACCCCATGGAGGACTGTCCGGAGTCTCAGTACTATCACATGCAGTGCCGGCTGGGCGAGGCGGGCTACGAGCGCTCCCCGGGGTGCGGCGGCGGGGGATCCAGGAGCTGGGGTCTTCGCAAACAGGCCATCCAGAATTGGCAGCGGCGACCTTACAGGAACAGCACGGAAGGCGAGGAAGGAGACGTGTCTGACGTGGGCTCCCGGACCACTGAGTCGGAGGTGGAGATGTGGGAACAGGAGAGGAGAGCTGTGGCTGAAGTCCAGCAGTCGGCACCTCCCTACTCTCACCACGGCAGGACGGGGTATCGGCCCAACACAGGTTAGCGACTCCCTGGGAGGTGCTTTATTTTTAGAAACTGTCAAACTCTCTCTCCAATCATACATCCAGACACATGGGAGCCGGGATTCATGAAATAAAGGCCTTAAAATGAGTCCCCAGAGTGATGTGGATCCAGGTCAGGCTCAGATGCAGTCGCTGTAATGTTTTTGGAGCTGGGTCACTGACCAGAACTCCTTCTGTCCTAGTGTGGATCAGACATGAGCACGAAATGTACACGTTGAGGAAAGAGGCTCATTATCTGCTGCGGTATGTAGACGCAACAATATAAAAATACGCTAACTGAAGTAACTTTCTCAAATCCTTTTGCAAAGGTTTTTGGTGTTTTTTCTTGTACGTACAGGGCTGAGGGTAGAGAGCACAATGTGCTTTACAGCAATGATATTCATTTACTTACATTGACTTCACTAGCTTCAAAGCCAGATGTTAGCTGTTTAAAGCTACTGCAAGAAACTTTTAACCGGCTATGAAAAAGTCTAATGCAGATCCCTCTATATGACCGATACAACAACACAATATTTTTATTTTGATGGTTATTCTTAATGCCGAAATCAACAATTAACAGCATGCAGGTGCACAACAGCGCCTGAGACTCTAGCCAATCTTTTTGTATTGGATAGAGCGATGTTTGCCTGTTGTATTGTCTCAGTTCTTCCTCTCATACTGAGCTTTACTTTAAGCCATTTCCACCACAGATTGTTCAGCTCTTTGTTAACATCCTGCGCTGCCAAAATCCTTAAACCCGCTGCTGCCCTCCGTTTTCCTTCACCTGCTGTTGCCTTTCTTCTAAATATCAAGCGGACTAATGCAGTCTGGGAAGAAGCGAAACTGGGCCAGACCAGAGCCCCATGACAAATTGGCATGAACTGCCACGACTGCCCCGTGAATTCAAAGGTTGTTTTCTCATATAACACTCAACATGTTGCTGGCGTTCCTCCGCTCTGACGTAGTTCTCTTTATTCGGAGGGTTTTATCAGATGGTGCGTATCTGCAAGCACACCGTCTTACTCTCAGCATGTAGCACGCTGCTCGGCTTTTTTAGCGCATTCGGCAGTCTTGAGCGTAGGCGGTGTGAGAAGGAGAGAGAGAGAAGGAAGGAAGGAGGAAGAGAGAGAGAGAGAGAGAGAAAGTGTAAGCATTGGTTCATAGCCCTGATGGTTTTGAGCAGACACCTTCCAAGGCCAAAGATGAAATGAGTCATCTAGGAGCAACTTGCTGGGAGGGAAAAAAACAGACTTCTATTGGACACACGGCATCAGCCAATAGGTAGCAATAGAGAGCAGAAAAACTTATGTAATCTCATTGGGTGTCTTGTTGAAGGTTGGCGCCACCATGTGACAGAAGATCTTTAAAACAATGTTTATTTGGTCGTTAGAAAATTTTACAACGGATGTAAACTAAAGAACATCTCTCCAAGCTTGCAGTTCAATTTGTTTTGTATCTTTTTTTGTAATATACATTTACATCCATGTATAATAACAATAACAAGGTTAGTTTGTTCCAGTTGTTCAGTATCAAAATCAGTTACTACAAAGTGCTTAACAAGCAAAAAACAAGAGTGACAGCGAGATCCTCTTTGTGGCAGTGGCAAGTGGGTGGCAACTTTGTGACAGGCAGCGGCAATCGCCAGTAAATCAGTCGGCGTCACGATGGCACGCTGGGTGGGAGGAGCCAATTTTTCCCAGAAACCACTGTTATTTGTACGACAGGTCAGCTGCTGTAAATATTTAATTTTATTTAATTTTATTTAATTTTATTTGAGACACGTGAGCCCCCGTCTTCTTATTACAGAGGCTAATTTTAGGTTTGGACCGGCGGGTTCCGTGTAGGGGGTGGGGCTCTCAAGTTTGATGCCACCCACTTGCCACTGCCACAAGGAGGATCTCGGCCTTACTGAAAAACAATCAAGAGAACAGTAAAAAAGAAAAAAAGTGAAATGAGTGGTGGGTTATGAAGACATACAAACATCCACAAATCCTGCTCCCTTTTTGTCTTACAAATAACTATGCAAACACATAACAGATTCCTGGCTTAGGACCTCCGGCTGGCTGCAGGTTGGTCACCAAAACGTCTCTTTTCTTACAAGGTCTTCTTTATAATTTCACTTAAAAGACTGTTTCAGTTGTACAAACGTAAAACCGTGTATTATCTGGCCAACCTGAACGAGATGTAGCTCTATTCCTAAGAGGGTAGGGACACGTATGGATGGCTTTGCTTTCATGGTACACTGAGGTTGGCTTTCTGATAGAACTGACATATTTAGACGATGGAGTGAAGACTGGATTTGTCGGTGTGGATGTTGAGGGACAATAAAAATGATCTAACCGTTATCATGTTTAGTCTTTCATTTTGTATCCGACAATACCGAGACCTTGCAAATATACTAACTTTATACCACCAAAGCCGTCCACGGTCAGATCTTGGATGGAACGCCTCCATTGTGTTAAAGCCTTTATCTTCGCACAGGTCGTTCTGAGGGGGTCTACAAGCCCTGCCGCCATGAAAAGAGCCCATCCAGATCCAACGAGGTGATCAGTCCAGAGATCCTCAAGATGCGCGCCGCTCTCTTCTGTATCTTCACCTACCTGGATACTAAAACCCTGCTGAGAGCTGCCGAGGTCTGCCGGGACTGGAAGTTTGTGGCTCGTCACCCAGCGGTGTGGACCAGAGTGCTGCTGGAGAATGCTCGCATTTCCTCCAAGGTGCATAGAGAACATCCGAATACTTTGTGCAGACTATCAACGCACTGCCCGTCATCTCTGCTGTGCATTGTGTAAATCTTCAATGACCTTCGTATTTCTGCTTTAGTTCCTGAGCACATTGTCTCAGTGGTGCACTCAGACGCACTCCCTCATCCTGCAAAACCTCAAACCAAGACAGCGAGGCAAGAAGGAAACCAAGGAGGAGTATGTTAAAAGCACACGGTAAGTAACATGCTGCTTCCTGCTGCAAACACTGGAGGAACATTTTGTTGAATGCGATATATGGTGGAAGTGCTGTTGTGAAGGACAGGAGAATTATTTTCTCTGTCTTTTTCTGTTGACCTTCCCTCACATTTCCACCTAAGTGGCTGTCTGGAGGAAGGCCTGGAGGCGTTGTTAAAGGCCACAGGAAGCAACCTTCTGATACTGAAGATTTCCCACTGCCCCAACCTGCTGACTGATCGCTCCCTTTGGCTGGCCAGCTGCTACTGTCGAGCTCTGCAGGCTGTAACCTACAGGTAAACCGGTCCACCCCTGTCCCATCCCTGCATGCATACTACAGTTCAACCCTCAATCACTTCGCTTGAATGAGGGCAACAGTCTATGATCACTTTCGTGACCATGATTTTTTTGTGTAACGTTGCGCTTCTTGTAACCCAGAAGTGCCACAGATCCAGTTGGCCAGGAGGTAATCTGGGCCCTCGGAGCAGGTTGTAGAGACATCATCTCCCTACAAGTGGCGCCACTACATCCATGGTAATAGACAGACTATTCCATCTGTCCTGATGTCAGTGCTCACCAAACAAATGACCGTGGACTTTTTCCCTTTTAGTCAACAACCCGCTCGTTTCAGCAACCGATGCCTGCAGACGATTGGAAGGTGCTGGCCACACCTCCGGGCCCTTGGTGTGGGCGGAGCTGGATGTGGCATTCAGGGGCTGGCCTCGCTCGGTAAATATCGCTTTGTAGTTTTAAGTCATGGCCATCAATATATTCATATATTTCCATATAGCCTCAATGCACAACTGTACTCTGTTGAAAACAAGTGAACTGTGCTTTCTATTCTCTCACCCCTGCATCATTTCCCTCCATCTCTGCGTTCCCTCACCTCCAATCACCACCTTCAACCTCCCACCCCCACTAGCGAGGAACTGCATGCGCCTGCAGGTGCTTGAATTGGATCACGTGAGTGAGATCAACCAGGAGGTGGCAGCAGAGGTGTGCAGAGAGGGCTTGAAGGGTTTGGAGATGCTGGTGCTAACTTCTACACCAGTCACCCCCAAAGCGCTGCTCCACTTCAACAGTGAGTTTTAATACTGTTTTTAGTTATTTAAGAGTACATTAATAACTGCGGTTGAATCATTAATGCATTTCAAAGATATAAGTACAAATATTTCATGAGAAGACACTGTTGAACCTGAGAAATAATGCACGCTGGCTGAATCATCGTTCCTCTCGTTTAGGTGTTTGCCGCAACCTGAAGTCTGTCGTGGTTCAGATCGGTATAGAAGACTACTTTGAGGACCCCAACAGCCCCGAAGCTAGAAAACTGTTTGATGAGATGGTCATCAAGCTTCAGGTAACAGCACACCCACTGCTCTCACACGGGGGAGGGAGGGGGGGGGGCAGAACGCCCACTGGGTAGTTCGGGAAGGCGCGGAACATCCGATCCCTTACATGTGCCTGTCTAAAACTTTCAATATGGAGGTTTTATACAAGCGGCCCCCAGATCCTTATTCATGTTGAAATCTGATCTGTAGCATTTTGCAGTTTGTACGTGACGCTCTTTGACTAGTGTTCCGCCTCACGTAGGCCAGTCCGACCTGTCCGCTGTTGATTCTGTACATTGGTTAATGTTCTGATACAACGTGGGGAGACAGGTGTCTGTCTGCCAGACATCTCAAAGCACAGCGTCAGTCTCAGCACGTCCATGCTGTTCCGCACACAGTGAAATTAACACCCAGGATGATTCTTCTGCACAATCTGGCTGAACTTTCAGTTTCCTTGTGAAGAGCAAATTAACAGAATATAAGTTTATGCTCCCAAAAAGCAAGAAGCGTGTTTTTGGTTTCCCCACACGTTATTCTTTTAACGTGTAACCCCTCCGTGGAGTGCAGTGAGGACTTAGAGGTCTGCACCCTCTGCTGCACATTCTTCTCAATTCAGTTTTTTTTTAGCAAACATATCCTTCTAGTTTTGCAGCACTGACTACAGAGGATAGGATGCATCTATTTTTGTCCCATTACACATCGTTTAAACCATGACTCAGTCCTGGAAGTCCCAGCAGTGATGGTGTGTTGTGGATGTGATGGCGCTACCTCACTCGAGCAGAGGCTTTCTGCGAGAGGCTTGGGTCATGCATGTAGCTGACCACACACAAACAGAGGTGTAAAAGCTGTGAAATCCCCGGTTTTATTTATGTTTTGTTTTTATGAGTCAGTTTGCAGTGTGTTCCTCTGGGATATCACACTCAAGATGCCACAGTTATTCACAGCAGTTAGGTAAGCTCAACAAAAGCTACCATTAAAAACCTCTTTCTCTTCAAGTTTGCTGAAGGAAGCCAAAGTTCATCTCTCCTGTTTAATCATCCTCTGTATTTTTGAAAGGGAGTTTGGTGAAAGTGAAGTTGTCCTCCTCGTCCTGCAGCATCCCAATGCTTTAGCATTTGGAAAACCTGTCTGTAATTCTGTCATTGATAGGAAACATAAAGGTGTGAATACAACAGTGGGGCAATTAGAATTTAGAAAAAAAGAAATTATGCAAAAGTTGGCTTTGATAAAATTAGATTCTTATATTCCTTTCCTTCCCTTTTCTTTCAGGCTCTGAGAAAGAGACCCGGCTTCTCCAAAATTCTCCACGTTAAAGCAGACAGTCTCTGCTAACATCATTTGAGCAGATTCTTCAAGTCTTGGAGAGGCGCCGCCTTGGCTCGGTTTATCAAGAAGACACAGCTGTTTTGAGCGCGCTCCACCGGGTTGAAAAAGTCTGCAACACAGACAGAAACAACAGAAGAGCACCATGACGAACCGGGGCCGAGGCTCAATGCGCATACTCCCATAACTCATAAACTACCCCCCCGTGAGGGCAGATCTCTAACTCATGTCGGCTTGGTGGCTTCTTTCAATGAGCCTCACAAGACTCAGATGACACCACAAAACAGATTCCTCTTTCAAAGCCGTCTCCTGCTTTTAAAAGAAGAAGAAGAAAAAAAGGATTGTGTTGTCACACAGAGCCGGATCCCATCCTTGAGACGCCTGGAGCCGGGTGACAGCGCTGTAATAATTCTTGACACATACTCAAGACTACCCTCAACATCGACGGCTGGCGGGCAGCAGCACATCGTGAAGCGTATAATGATTTCCTCAAGAAATTTTGAGCACTCAAGGTTAGCATACCTTGACAGTCCACTCAGCCGATTGCGAGGCAGAGATGCATTTGCCCTCCGCTACCATCCCCTGCTTTCTCATACAACCTTTGAGTGGTTTTGATAGTTTTAGTATCTCGGAATGCAGTATTTGATGCTTTTCATCAGCAAGACTGCAAAGGTGATCCGTAAGGCCGTTCTCTCAGAGGACTGGTGCCATCTGTAACAGCGTCTGTCCTCATTCCAGTCAGCGTTTTCTCCAATGTGCCATTAATGAGGGAGGAGGGACCAGGGTACGGAATCAAATTCAACATTTTAACTTAACATTATTGTAGTTTGATTTGAGTGTAAAGCAGTTTCATGTTTCATAATGAACATGCTCTCCAGGGGTAAACAGGTGTTACAGTGTTGGTATATCATGTGACAGTGCCATTCCTATTCATAATGCTCATCATGGCTGAGGCCTCCTTGTTTATATTCGACAGCTGACCCCACGTGGCTCCCTCTGCTGGTTTTTCCAAGCATTTACACAGCCAACAGCCAGCTAACGGGATTTGACACTTTGGACACTTTGCACCTTTCACTATTTTGCAGAACTCAAAACCGCACAGATCACTTCCTCCGTATCACCTTCGAATCAGGAATTTGATTTGGTGTTTATTTGGTAGGATTTGCGGCTGCTATTCAGTTTAGGCCACGTCGCAGTAACTCTTATGAAGCATGAGTACCAATGCTGTGGTGATATTTAGTGTACGCTGCTACACATCGAGACCAGTTTATTATTCACGTGGAATAACACTGTCTTCTGGCTCTGGAGGAGCTTTGTCAGGTCTGAGAAAATAATCCTTGGAATTCCATCAGGCGCTTCTCGGTTTTTTAACTAATGATAGCACATTACGGAGCTGGAAGGTACGTAGTCTGAAGAAATGTGAAAAGATGGGTTTACATGTACGGTCCATAGGAAATACCATGGATGGGAGTTTCTTAAGCTTGACCCATACTAGGGACCAAAAGGTAGGGTTGTTCGGCTTTTGCTGCATTGGGTTCCTTTTTCTGTGAGTCCCCGAACATTTTGAGAGTGCAATACTAAATCACTGGAGCTCCTGTTAGACATTTACAATCAGTTTTCTTTCAAGATAACTTGCACACTATTTTGAAACAGACGATTCCCATCTTGTAGAACATCATAACCTCGCCACGTATTTACCCGCTTCATTTGTCTTCACCACGTTAACGTTCCTCAGAACGCCGCGGCCGTTTTCCCGAGCAGGCGTTTTTTGTTGTCGCTGACAAGCAGAGCTGATGTTTTGGGGTTCTCTGCTTTACTGTCCAACATGTTGATGGAGACTTGTGTAGCTGCATATTGTACTGATGATGTTCCTGGTGAATGTGTGAGAACATGTGGATGTTCATTTCTTCTTGTTCTTCCAGTACTGCATATTATTGTCCCGTTCTGGTACTGAGTCATTGGAGGGAAGTTAGTTTGGGAAAAGTGTAAAACACAATAGCGAAAAAACAAAGCACTTGTTGGTTTGAAGTTTTAGACAATCCTGCCTTCGCTATCAGCTACTCTGTACATACTGTTTGTAAAAAAAAAAAAAGGACCAACATTTGATGTTATATAATATTTACGGTCTTCATGCTGTAAGCATCTTCTCTCCAAAGTTGAATGAAAGATAAACATAGAGAATTATATTATGTATAACAGTAGTGTTGAATTTGCAGTTGTGTATTAGATACTTTATATTAAATGTGCATCAGAGTCATATAGAGATGGAAATTATTTAAGAAGAGGATAAAGTATTATTCAGCTATTTATTTCTATAAAAAGAGCGATGTGTATAATGTTGGCATGTTTGTGTTTGAGCATCAATCATTAAGTTGCCTTCTTAAGTGTTAACTGCTACTGTGACAAGATAATTATTAGATGTTTAAAGAGCTTTGATTGCCTGCAGGTTAATAATGCTTATTTTTTTTGTTGATCCAGTCTGTTGTTGCACTAGTGAGAAAAAATAAGAAATTTCAGATGTTTATTATAAAAGTGTTGTTTTTTTAACGTTCAACTATTTGATGCACTTTTTTTCCTGAACACTTCGACCCGTCGGCCTTTGGTTGGGTCCGAAGCGGTTTCCCGTCAGCGGGACGCTTGGCGGCGTTTCCTGTAGTGGAATGAAACGGAGGGTTTGCTTACATGCTCGGCTTCATGGGAGGTAGATTTAGGAAATGCAGCGACTACATTCAGCCTCTTTTCTCTTAATCCATCAAGGTAAACAGCGAACCTGATTCAACAACATTCAAGTGCTTTTTAGGTTTGTTGCCAACACGAACCTTACGTTCACCCCCTTGTGTTTGTCGCTGTCATCGCTTTGGTTTTGCATTTTAATGCAGATTTTATGCTCATACCATAAGTAGAGCCCAGCTTTTTTTTTGTGAAAATGGACCTGCTGATGATGTAACAGAGCCTATGTGCTCTGATACTGCTGATTAGAGGTGCCAGGTAATCACATTCTGGCCTATACCGCTCCAAAAATAAAGCATAATCATTTGTAAATGATTTATTCACAAACTGAAGCATCTCTAAAAACCAACTTGCTTCCGCATACTCATGTTTATTTAAACCAATTTCAATTCCTCCTGTTTTGCGCTTGTATGTATAATGCATCCTAATGTGCAATTGAAAAACAGTGTCTGAGTGTTCATGTATCTTTCTGTACATATTTAATGAATGAATGATTGTATTCTGCCCATTCATCTGAATAGTATTTTACACATTACCTCAACACTTATCTGGGCAATTAAGTGTGCAGTTCGTCTATTTTTTCCTTCCAACTGCCATCGACGGATACGCCACTCGACCCATGAACTTCATCCATCTTGCTACAGTGACAAAATGGAATCTATCGCTGAAAAGAACTTTCCTAAAAGTTGATCAGCCTTCTGCGATGACTGCAATAGAGGGAAATGTTTTACTACTCATTTACACGCATTTGTTGCCATCAATAAAATTGCTTTAAATTGTAATTGCTCTGTACTTTTGGCTTTTTTTTAATATGTTTTAAGGAGTTCGCGATTACGATTACAGTACATTACATTACATGTCATTTAGCTGACGCTTTTATCCAAAGCGACTTACAATAAGCGCTTTCAACCATAGGGATTAAAGATTCAAATGAATTACTTTTGCTACCCACCACTACTGACACCTCATATAATCCAGAACCATCACAATGTGTCTTGAAAGACATTTCTTTCTGTTGATATTTCTGTTGAGCTCACAGCCTTGACATTAAAATAAATATTGGCAGTATTTCTTTGCATAAACTCCTGTTTCTGTAGACTTCACTTAACAGGTCCCATTGGAATTACTTCATTGAAAAGAAAGTACCCTTATGAAAGTGATAAGTCCGATTTTCTTTCTTCTGTTTTGGGGTCTGGGCTATTGCAAGCAAATTCTTCACAAATAATGAAAAATATATATTTTTAATACTAGTTTTATTATTTGGAAATGCATCATTAAAAAAACAGTTTATAATGTTTGTTATAAAATATAAATATTTCACTCTGTAATGAACTAAAACCAGTGAAACATAAGATCATCTTCCCTCTGTTGGCGGCTGTAGTGGAATGTGTCCTCTGCAGCCTCACGTATTCCCCGGCTGCACCCGGGACTCCAGCCACAACGTTCTCCCCATGTTGCTCTCGCTTTGCTTCTCAACTGCCTGAATGAAGGAGGAGGGTCCACTTAGGTTTGACTTAGAACGCCTTCTACAGACAGTTACGATACACGGAATGCACAGGAATTGTTCTTTCTTTAATCCATTTTTTCGTTTGTTTATTAATAGGCTCCCCAGAACAACTTTATACATCACAACTGGGGGCTTAATCTAGTGTATTGTCCAAAAGAAAACAAGAAATACAGTTTGTGTTATCAATATTTCCTGGTTTCACAAAACCCTACAAAGGCATATTTGCTAATCTGTCAGGAAACGAAACATGAGCTGGGATTTTTTTATGAGGGGAAATTGTTGGCCGGCTCGCCTGCGTCTTTGCCTTTAAGGTGTCAGAAACAGATGCAGCTCCTGTTACATCTCACATTTTTGAAACATAGCACCTTGTAAAAAGGACACCTTTATTAGCCTTTTGAATTGACTGTTCTTCACTGCGTCAATGTTTTTCTTTCATTAGAAAGATTCCCAGTTATTCAGGTTGTAGTGTGTCTACAGGGGTCTAGAAGAATTTAACACCTGTTTATCTGATCTATTCAATGCACCTCGTTTATAGTATTCAGTTAAATACACTGTAATTAATTCACATGATCCATAACCATTTACAAAACTCTCTAGGTTCACCCATTGAAGCAGAATACTGATTTTAAAATCTCATCAATGTGAACGAAGGGAAGCGATCTTCTCACATCCGCTTGCATGTCCACACAGGTGCTTTCACTTGTGGGTGATTTGACCTCCTGCTCACATTGAAGCGGCACAGAGTTTAGCAACGTGACAACGTGACTCTACCAACCTTGATAACGGTGAGCCACGCTGCCTACTAATCACATACAGCTTTTCTTGTTTTTACTTATCATGGCAAACTGTTGAGATTATCAGCATGCTTTTATACTGACAAGCTTCACAAGTTGTTCGACAAATGTTGCTCCTTTGCAGAGACTCGTTTTCAAGCTGTTTCCAGCCCACTCAAGAATAAGCCTTGTTTTAGTATGAACGCTGGTCGAGTTCACTTCATTTTGTGACATGAGACACCGCATACCGAAAACCTGCTTAAAGTCGGTATGTAGTAGACTTCTTCTACAGCAAGTGGCCATTTGCCAACCATGAGTCCGTTTATCCCATTTGGTTTGATGTCTGTCATGTAGCTGCGTAGCAACAGTTGCAACATTAAAACCTTCAGGAGAACTCGATCAAACGTATTGTGCACACACCTGCACGGCAGTCTAAACAGCTGTGGTTGCTATTTGCAATTCTTTTTGACCCAAACATTTCAAAATAGGAGATTAGAGTCAGTTTTATAGCACTGGTTGTCTAAAAATAAACGGCATTGGCACTGTCTCTAAATATTGGCATGTTACACGTTTTTTTGGAACGCATGTCATTCTCTCTTTGGGCTTTTTGTTCCTCCTCCTCCACCATCTGATCCCACTTGATATTTCTAGTTGGCATCAATTTGGTGTTGGCCAGCAATTGCATCGGCTCAGTGTTCTTGGCCCTTATTTGGTTTTGAATCTAATTGGTCATTAGTCTAAACTTTTCAGTGTTTTCTGCATTTTGCGCTAGTTGTCCGCCCCTTGGCAACATGTTAGATGAAATATTGTACTTTTTTACTCATTTGTAGATTTTGCAACATTTAGCCTATTATTGAGTCCTAGATGTCTTAAAACAAACGAAGAATCTGTCATTAAACTGAGAAAATTTCAACACCATAAAGCAGCTAAAGGAAAATGTCAAATGTAGGACTTTTATTTGAATAGGCTCTGAATTTCTTTTTCCACCTCTGATGGTTTTCAGTTAAATTTCAAATTATTTTATTTTAAACTGATGAATCATCATCATCATCATACAGGGAGGACTGGTTTGAATTATGTTCTAACGCCAGCTGTCACATTAGCAGATTTCAGGCTTTGCAGCCTTTTCTTTTCTTTTCTTTCCATGTGCACTCGCTCAGTCACTCTAAAGTTTAAAAGCTCTTGCTTGTGGTTGTACTTTCCTGGAAAATATAAAGGTGAATGTCAATGAATTAAGAAGACTCAACTGGACTAGTTAGATGATAAAGTTTTAACAAAAGTTTATCAATTTTAATTTAGCATTTTTGAAATAAAATAGCATTACGTACAGAAGGCACTTAAAAAAAAGAGTTAAATTACAGATGCTGTTATTATGAACATGAAATTGATGATTAAAAACAATTTAATGACAGAATAAAGTCAAGAAATGACCGCACCATTGGCAACCTTTTGAACAGTACATGTCAAATAAAAACGCATGATTTGAATCTACAGTACAATAGAGAAAATACTCATCAATGAAATAATGCCCGAGCTATGTTTTTAAGTATAACTTAATCATCAAGATAAGTAGAACTCAAAAGTAATGTTTTTCACTAGTCAGAGGTTTGTTTTATTTTACATTTTAGGCTTTGTGGTTTCCGCTCTGTGCAAGTCCTGGTACATCTCTATTAGGCGAGTGGCCTCCCTCTGTCCCGACAGCAAAGCACCATGGGTAGTGGAATAGTATTTCCTGTGGGTGGCCTCTCCAGCGAACAGGACCTGTAGAGGCTGAGGAAGGAGGAGGGGGAGAAAGATTTAAAATATTTGAGAGGAGAAAAGCAGAGCGCCGTCAAAAGTCGTCACATCGTTTCTTTTGGCCTCCTGCCTGACACTTCACCACGGTTTTTCTATTTTCATCACTTGCACTCCAGCAGGAGGCCTCAGTAACTTTCCTGAAGGCCTTACAGTTTGACAGGGTTAAACGGCTTCAGTGGGGGGGGGGTCATCCCGCTCCTTCAACATTCCTACAACAGTGTCAAGTGAGCACAGAATGCTCCCCCCATAACCCAGAACACCTCAGGTTTCACGGCCCGGACCGCTGGCCAGGAAACGGCCTTCACATCCCCCCTGATACCAGCTGCACTCCCTGCATGTGCTGCACGGCACTGATGACATTAACCATGTGTTCCGTGTGCAGAGAACGTAAACTTCACCATGAGGGTGTTTTCATCCCCTCCGTCCGCTCCCTCCGTCTTCCCGTCTTACCGGAGCCTTGGTACTGTTGGCATAAGGCAGCGGCGTGGCGAGCCGTTCGCAGTCCGCACCGCTGGATCCCACCCTGGTGAAGGAGTAGGAGCCTCGAATGAATGGGTTACTGCCCCAGGAGGAGCGCAGGACACGCCAGGGCTTAGGAATGTCAGGGTTCCCTGTGGACAGACGGACAGAAGAACTTTCTGAAATCATTGAAAGCATTTTCAGATCAAGAATGTGGCGTCCGTCGAGTCGAGGCTACTCTGTGGGATGTTTAGTCTGCCAGCTGATCAAGTGAATTCCTAAAATGAGGAATGTGTGTGTGTGTGTGTTACTTCTTTGAGTAATTTACCGTCTGCAATCTACGGTCCACTGATGGTCACAGTCACTGCTTTTCAACTTCACACGTGACCCATTTCTGAGGAAATCACTGTACTGTGAGGAGTAGTCTTACTCGTTCAGACAGTACCGACATAATTACAAAACTACTCGGAAACAATCATGAGTCAACCTGCGTTCATGTTAAGAAACCTGTACATTGGTGGGTTGCAACCTGTTCCACTGCTGCGTTTATAGAGAACTTGGGGCGCAGCATTAGGGAAGTTCCTAGAAAATTAAGCAACTGTGACACTTATGTCGCAAGACAAACGAAACAGTCAGAGCAAGAGCAAGACTTCTCGCCCTTCTGAAACGCCACGATCAACCCGGCAGCTCAGTGTTGCTCGTGTGGTTGTGACAACCGGTCCGTAGTGACTCACGACACGTGAGTCATCCAGCTGTATTCTCTTGACAATCCTATGTCATAAAGAACGCTACTGACATCACAGATTGCGTCGTTTCCTTTTGAGCCAGAACGCAAACACCCAACCTGTTTGTTTGAGTCACCGACTCCGCATCAGCCTTCCCCGGCCTTTATGTTACTTTTACCACTGTTGATTGTTATTGAAAATTTGAACGCAAATGTTGATGTCTTTTTTTTAATTGTTTTTTTATATAATGGATATTTGAATAATTTAGTGGTGAAATGAGGATTACGTTACAGAAGGCATTCCCACAGAAGCTTATCTGACGTTGGCCCGCCATACACAGCTCTGTTTCCTTGTGTGAACGTGTCCTGACCTGTGAAGCGCCTCAGCAGCTCGGTGCAGGTCTCGGCCACTGTTTCGTCGTCGCAGCGCTCCATGTACAGCGCCTCCTGCCCGCAGATCCAGCCGCTCAGCATGTGGCCGTAGCGCTCGGGCGGGTAGAGGACGTCAAAGCTGCAGATCTTCTTGTACCACAGCTCCTCGGGGTAGGCCAGCTGTTCGAGCTGAGCCTCATCCTCCCACACAAATTGGATGCTGTTGCACTCGGGGCTCCAGAAGGGCTCTTCAAACTCCAAGAAGATCTTATCGGTGGTGCTGATGCCCAGCTTCTCGATGGCGAACACTTTGTCCTCCGGCAGAGAAGGGGAGAACATGGCCTCGTGGTTCTGCTTCAGGACGCCCAGAGAGGCCGTGACGATCACGTGGTCGGCCGGGATCCACTCCTCGTCCTCGCACTCCACGTAAATGGGGGGGCCGAGGGCCGCGGGGTCCTCGCGAGGCCGGCGCCCGTGGTTGTTGTCGTTGTGGTCGTCGTCGTCCCGCTGGCTGCCGCCGCTGTTGGGGATCACCTCCTGATGCTTGGCCGAGTAGTTCCAGTGGATGCTGCGGACCGGTTTGCTGAGGCAGACGGTGCGGGAGGGGATGTCCTGGGCCAGGAGCTCCACCACCTTCATGAAACCTTCAGGAATTACATAATGCGCACCAGGGATCTCTGTCCACTCGCCAAACTCACTCAGAGACACCTCATCCATACTGGGAGAGCTGCTCTCACAGCTCTCCACCTGAAATAGCAACACAGAGAGTGCGAGCAGTGAGCAGCGAGATCACACGGATGTTCTACAGGGCAATCCTAGAAAAACATCATTCAAGCAGCCGGTGATGGAACAAAAATTCCCCTCCTGTCTGAAGCTGGTTTCAAGTTGTTTTTGTGACAAATTTCCATTCTCAGTGAATTCAACAACAATTTAATCACTTTAGTAAACCCAGGGATCTTTTTATTGGCGAGTTAGCATGATTGCGGTGGCCGATGAGCCGCAAACATCTGTCTCCTATGCTGCAGTTCACGACACGCTCGGGTTGTTGTGTCTTTGTGTGTGTGTGGGCAGGAGCGTGCAGGAGCACTCAAAGGGATGTAACACTGACGTAGCACCCACGTGAATATTTCAATTTGAGGTGTTTTCATGCAGACAATAGCGTTAGAGAGGTGCAGGTTTAGTCCTTGGATGTTTGTATAACATCTTCTAGAAAAGATGAATAAAACCTAACCTTGAAGGAAAAAGGAAACATTGTGTTTGGCTGCTTCACACATGATTATCTTATTTCTGGTCGAGCTGAATCGATGCTTAACAGTATAGTTAAAACACTTGCAGACCTTCATATTGGTCGGAGAGAGCAGGAAATTCATTTGCTCGTTTTGTTTTCTCGAATGTACACCAGCAATGTGTAAAGTGTAAACCACACACACCTTGAGGTACTGTTGAAGCATGGACAGTTTGAGCTTCTTGGTGCCCTCAGAATCATCGGCGTCCAACATAATCTTCTTGCGCAACACGTCCCGCGTGAAAATGCCGACGCTGTTCTGGCTCTCGGCGCAGACGGGTTTCCCGTTCTGGAAGAACTCCTGAGTCAGCTCGTACACCTGGAGCAGGGAGAGGAATCAGGAGAACAAGGAACCATGTCAAGGAAAAAACCCCACCGGTAGCACAAATCACAGCACGTTAATAACAAGTGTTGCTGGCAGCTACAGGAGCCGCGTATTGTTAAGGAGAGAAAACAGAAAGTAGGAAAAGAGACTTGTTGATACACTGAGGGGATAATTTGCCATTTCCTGGAGTAGTAAAACAACTGTGGTGAAATTCAAACATTCAGTGTGAAATGTGGATTGTTCATTATAAGTAATTAAAACTACAATAAAACCTTCCGAAGTACTGTGAGTGCTTTATTCATCGTTTTGGTAAATGCTTTTGGGATGTTAGTCAAGTAGTATTTCTGGTACTTTCTTTGTCATCTGGTGTTTTGTAGACCAAAGGATTAATCAAATACTTCAACAGATTAATAATTCAACCCTGTCGCGTAAAGGAGATGGGGATAATTCCTGCCGGGTCAGTTGAATTACTCATTGTCCAGTTGACCGACTTAATATGTAACATATTTAAATCTATGTTGATTTTATGGTCTTGTCTTTCAATGTGTTGCTGCTATGACATTTCAATTTACCTCTGGGAATAAAGTAATATAAAGTATATCTAATCTATCTATCTGATATAAAATAAAATATTTTTTAGTTATCAATCAGGCAGCGTGATGAGGTCAGGAGATCGTTCACTCGTCTACATGTGATGTTGACCATAATCCTGGTCTATACATATATGTGGTGCCTCTGTGCACGTGCGTCCTCTTACTTCGTTGTACTGGTCGCTGAACTCTTCCACCAGGTCTTTGGGGATCCTCTTGCCGACGTTGGTCTGGTAGTGAGCCACGCCATTTTTCGTGTACAGGCTGATGCGTCCCACACTCCTCTCCCCGTCTGTGGTGTGCTCCAGCAGCCCGTTGTCCTCTGCCAGGTGGTACACTGGGTTGCCGTTGGCTCCATGGATCCAGGTGGCTCCGAGCTCCAAAGTTGCATTTCCTATAAACAAAGGAAGGAAAGACAAACGGATGAGATCTCTTTGAGCTGTATTTGTCGCGCCACAATCACACTTGAGCTTTGCATAAATGGACAGTTCAACTCCAGTAACGTATCGCAGTTGCTTTAGCCCACTGGAACACCATTAATTATACATTCTTCCCAAGGATGATGGCATCACACACTTTGTATTGTTTATAGTCATATAGACATTTATATCTGAATGCTTTCTAAAATAATTTCATACAGTACATAACCAAGCTTTTACATAACAGATGCAACTATTATCTGTGTGCCTCAAATTCGACGTCAGATTTAAGAGTGCAGAATGTTACTTTGCGCTTGATCTCTTGTATGTGCATACGTTTATCTGGTGCCGCCAGCAGATGTTGTTCCCTTCTTTTTTGTGTAAGCACGGCGGTTCAGTTGACTTTGTTGATAAAATCTACCAGCGTTGCTCAAGCAGATGAAGTTGAAAGCGCCCTTTTTTCTTTTGCAACTAGACATGCATCCGATAAGTGCATTCTTTCAGGTTATTTAAGGGAACAAAGAGTCAATGAATGGCTGGCTGATTAGAGTGTACTTCAAATAATTATGTGCAGTAATATCATTAAACTTAATCTGGCCTGTGATTTTAAAAAATGATATTTTTTTTTGTGGAGATCTAGTAGGGAATTGTTACTTGGGAGAGATGCGTGTTTTTCTCTAAGCAAGCTATTGGACAGTTCACTTCCTGGCATTACAGTGATATGTAACAACATTCCAACTATGATCCCACAAATTGATGGACTTTGTGCACTAAATATGCTGCTACAGTGTATGCAACTTGGCATAAAGACTGTAAACAGCCCGGCTCTGTCTAAAGGTAACGAAATATGTCTACTGGCTCTCCAAAAGCCTACTAATCAACACATTATGTCCTGTTCATTTAATCCGTGGGGGAAAAAACAGTAACGAGGAGATCTTGTGGCTCGACAGTTAATTAATGATCACCTCCAGGAGGCGAAATAAATAATAGTAATTTATAACTAAATAAATGTGCTGCACGGGGCAACGTTTCAGGGTTTTGGTGTTTTTTACGGTAAAGATACAAAGTCAACAGGAGGTAAACGGAGACTCTCACCGAGCTGAACGCTCTGAACTCTCCCGCCGACGTGGTCTGATGCCTCTAGGACAGTGACATCTGTGAAGCCGTTTTTCAGGAGGATCTTAGTTGCAGCAAGGCCGGCCAAGCCAGCACCAATCACTACTATTCGAGGCTGCCGATGGGTGCGTAGGCCGCTACTAAGAGGATCATCAGTGCTGTCTGACGAAATTTCACAACTTTGCATGCCGTCCAAGATCCTTTTCGATGGCGTCTGTGGTCAAATGAAAGAAAAGGCAGGTTAAAAAAAAAAAGGGCAACACTGTTACATTTAGTCGCACCGCAGGTTCCCATCGTGTGAAAGAAACAAAATGTCTTTTTGAGTTTCCACATGCTTGTGTTGCAGGATGTTTCCTCCAATACACTCGTCGTCAAACCCTTGGTGGTTATTTTCAGCAACTGATCACTGCTTCTCTCAAGTTGATGCAGTTTGTCAAGATAGAGAGTATTCATCGCTGAAACAAAAATCTATTTCTTTTATTTGAAATCGTGTGTATGTGATTATGGTGAGTAGGATATTAGATCCCCCCCTTGTGCATTAAATCAATTATTTTGTGCAAAAAATATATACTTTGTAATGCAAACAAACTAATAGACTCTAGATTGTTTTCTCACAATTCAAACAGGAAGATAACGCGTTTATATTTCAGGACTCCTTGTGAAAAGAAACCGTGTCCATGTTGCTTGGGATCATCCACAGAATATTCTATAATCAGTATATTATACTCTGAAAGTGAAGTCTGTGGATTATTACCATCAAATGAAAACAATTCAAATAATCTTTGGATCCACTATTTACTTTAACGCTGTGAGCGATACAAAATCAATTCCTCTTACCTCGATCATAGTAGGGTGGAGCCAGAGACATTACTGATACTATCATCATTTAGCTGAACTGATCCTTTAAAGAACGACCAATTTACCTACGAGCTAGGCCTAAATAATGTAGTCTCTTTAGAGCCCTGTTGTCTTTGTTGCTAACAAAAGGCTTTTATAGCTGTTGCTTATCAGCTTTCCCCTTAATTAACCCACATTTACAACTGTGTTTCATTCAATTGTTCCACCAGATGTTTACAATATTCTGTCTACCTGCCGTAAAATAAAAATGTATTGAGCATGAGGCCAAATGAGACAACAGAAACAACTCTAGTATCAAAAATTATACTGAAATTGCTCAAGGATAAAAACATTCAGAGTGAGGACACAAGCGACCTTGTTTTTCCAGCACCCAAGGCTGTTTGCAGTGAATGTATGGACAGCTGTGTGTGAGAGTAACACAGTGGGAGTCCAAGCCAAATACGCAGAATAATTCAGAAACATTAAGAAGTAGCGGTTTGTCATGCTGGCTGTACGCTGTTGTAGCCGTCGAGCATTTGATGTGAAATGGGTCGTTTTTTTTCTCAGTCACGTCGTGTATTATCAAAAAACACAGAGTCCTCTGAGGGTAAGACGGTGCTATCGTGCTGCTACACAATACACACACATTTACATACTATTTCCTCGCTTTTTGTTACCACAGCAACGCTGACCGCAGAGAAAATCCAGTGTTCCATTCAATGTATGTCTATGTGGCAGACGAGTCTTTGTATGTGTACGAGATACCGAGCCGGATCAACGTGACGGTATTAAGTTATTTAACCTTGATTCAACTGAAAATGTCTTGTAAGCATGTTTTCAATCTTAGCAACTGTGCAAAGATGAGACAAAAGAGCTGACAAAGGGAGTAAGAGAGAAAACCACAAGCCAGGGCCGAGAGAGAAGAGATGTGTGTGTGTGTGTGTGTGTGTGGGGGGGGGGGGCGTGTCGTACGAAGCAGAACGTGATGTCAAACCCAAGAGGACACAAACACGGATTTCTGCGAAGCTCTATAACTTTGTGGTTAACAGTCTACCCGAGTCTTGGTTGACCTCTGCCCTCTGACACAGCTGTGCTTTTAAACCCACTTATCTGGATGAACAACACACATCTGATGTGACCTCAGGATCCTCGGCATGAAAGTGGGTCAGACGTGGCACGGATTGGATTTCCACGTGTGGTTTCTTTTTTTCCCGCAGACATCTTATTCAGTGATATTGACATTTGGTGTTTCCTGCCAAGAGATATATCGGAGGACACTTGTTTGTTTTATACAGTTGTTTCCATTTTCTGACTCATTTTTCCTCATGGATGTTTTTTAGGATTTTAGCCTTTAACCCTTCAGGGCTGACTGTCATACTGATGGACAGCATCAAAGCTTTGCCATCTTTGCATCAACAACTCCATATTATAGCTTAAACATTCAGTATTCACTCTTAATCTGTTAATGCGTTGCTTGACCCATAACATAAAGCCCATTTCAGTAAAAAAAAATTCTAAGAATAAATAAGGAACCACGCTTCTAAATGAATTACAGGTCTAATTAATTAACAACCATCCCATGACACTGTAACAGATTGCACACCGTAATTATTCCACGGCTGGTTTGTACTCTCGCCACATGCCGCCTCATGCTTTACACCCCACTGCAGATTACAGTGTGGGCCGGCCTTGGGTAGATAGGCGGCTCACGGTGGGATGGAGGGAAAAAGGAGGGGGCCACTGCTGACCTAGAAATGGCGATGTACCATACAGCGCATCTGCTGGTGGTCTTTTCAAGAGCATCGCGAGCCTTGAGCGGGAATATCTTGAATTAATGAGTCGCATCTTCCCACCTCCACTGCGCTCCGCTCTTTCCAGCTGTGGAAATCCTCACATCTGCATTTTCTTTCATGTCGTATGTCAGTATTAGCAGGGTAACAAACATTTGACCGTCTCTACATAAATATACATTTAACGTTTCATATTTCTCTCCCAGTTCTGGTTTTCCCAAGCAGGGGTGATGTAGTAACGGCACACACACACACACACACACACACACACACTGTGCAGCCCTTCGTATGTTCACCGTGTCACGCAATGATAATAGGAACATTATCACCACAAAGTGAGATGATGGCAAAATTGAACAAACGATTTTAGTGTTTATTTCTGTCATTTAATAAAGAAAATGAGAAAGACCTTGAAGAAAGATGTGGGTATCATTCTCTAGTAGGCACCATGGTATGAACAGTATTACATTGTAAATAACGGCGCTAGTTGGAATTAATACAGCATTTACAAGTAATATAAATTTGTTATGAGTCATTGATTAAAAAAAAATGTCATTTGCCTTTGCAAGGTCGCACAAAATGTGGTTGTATGCTTTGGCCACTCACTTGAGTGTGAGCGTCCTAATTCACTGCTTAACATTTATTTTTAAACAGCGAGGGAGGAATGGGCCTTTTTTTTTTACCTGAGCTTTCTTCATCTTTTGTGAGTAGAATAATGCCGACAAACAACGAATTGGAACACTATGTATTGACCAGCAAAACAGCCATTTGTTTGAATAGTTGAATAGTTTGAATAATAATCTAATATTATTATTATAATATTAATAATGAAAGAAGAGTTAAAAGTTGTAACTGACAAACCGATGCGAGTGAGTTTGGTGTCACCCTGAGGTGCCCAGCTGCTCTGTAAGATGCCACGTATCAGCTGTGATGCCAAAGAGGCAGCAGTTAGAAACAAGGCGACCAAGTTCACGGAGTTTCTCCCGCTTCTTCTCTTTCAGAATGAAGCCTGAACACCGAATTTAAAGCGGACAAGCGGAGAGAAAACACACGAATCCGCGTCACTCCGAGCGCGGCAGCGAGTAACGTCACATCGGTGTGACCCGCGATCACTTTTGATTGAACTAGGTTACGTCGCCGTTTTGTGCTGTTGTCTCATCAACACACACACACACACACACACACAAAACAACACCCCGGTGCCCGGTGGTGACATTTAACACGACGCTCACAACTCCTTCACGTTCCTCGCGGTTCCCCCGGTGACACGTAGCGCCTACGTTTACAAACACTCTCCTCTGTTCAGGTCAATGCGTTTAAGTCGCCATCAACCACATCGTTCCGCGTAGGTGTGTGTGTGTGTGTGTGTGTGTGTGTGTGTGTGTGTGTGTGTGTGTGTGTGTGTGTGTGTGTGTGTGTCCGTGGAGCAGCTGGTCACTTTACCTCTCGTGGTCTTCAGCTTTAAACCCTCCGCGTCCCCGTTGTGCCCGTTTCTCCCTCAGACCGGCTCCGCTTTGTATTTATGGCTGGAAACCAGAAGCAGCCAGTTTCTCTCCCCCCGATGGCCGCCGCCTTCTCGTTAAATAAATATGAGCAGCGATGACGACACGGACCAGTCTTCCCACCCCCCCAACACACACACACACACACACACACACACACACACACACACACACACCCGCGCACACGCGCGCACATAACGCAAGAAAACAGACCAATAAGAATCGAGGGCTCGGGCTTAGATGATAAAGAGCAGAATAAATTATAATAATGATGACAGTTGTGTCAATGGGGTCAATGTGCCAAAGCCCATTTTGCGTTTACGTTTTTATTTATCAGGCTCGTGTGCAAAATGTGCAGATATCCTGCAACGTGAAACATCATTTCCGTTATGGTCAAGTGTTCTTACTTTACCTATTAAATAAAACTGTCGTTAATACAATAAAAAAAACTGCATTTCGACCTCCTTCATAAAGTACAGATGATTGACTGTAAAAGTATAATATTGATGATTATGCAAGGCTAATTATATCATCAATCTATAACGATACATAGTATGTTATACAGTGATCATAATTTGGGCCTAAAATTGTGATGATGTGGCAGTGAGTAACAAAAGCTATCACATAAAAGCAGTAGGATAGAAAGTACCATATTGCCCTCAAATGTTTTGGGGTGTAAAGTAACTTAAGTAAACATACTTTTCCTTAGTGAATATAAGATACTAAATTTCTGGGGTTAAAATTATTCATTTTAAACAATCCGATAAAGAACTCATAAAACGGCCTGAAACAACACATGGATAAATGATCACATGTTTAAGATATTAATATCTTAATTCCCAAAGGCAACTCTTTAAGGATGAATCTTGCAGGTCCGTCAGCGAGCATTACGATCAGGATTTTGACCCAGTAGTTAAAATTGATGATGCTGCACAAGGAGGATTTGTTTCATGTTGTGGGGCAGGAAATCCCTCCGGAAGCAAGCACTGTTTGCTCTGGTGGGTTGACCCCTTTAGCTTCTCCAAAAGACCACCCCCGGCTGTTTTTGGAGGTTTAGAGGTCCAAACCCATAAATCAACAGGAAGATGATTCAGTGTCATAAGCGCTTGTCCGTGTATACGGGTCATTGATGGCCAGCTCATCTTGCAAGTCGCCTCCCATCCTGTTCTGGGCTTTGTTCAAAGAAGGAAGCCTGGCAGACAATTGTTTGAATAATCAACAGAACATGGTAAACTAAATTCTTGACAAAAATGATTACAATTGCAGCATGAATACAAAGCACTATAGTAAACATATGTATTTCAAGATATCGTATTGTTACTACTGTAAGTTCTGACCGCAAGTAAAGCCATTGAGGACAATTACATTACATTACATGTCATTTAGCTGACTCTTTTATCCAAAGCGACTTACAATAAGTGGATTTCAACCATAGGGATACAAACTCAGAAGAGCAAGAAGCAAGAAAGTGCAATTTTATCAAATAAGCTAAATTAAAAGGAGGAGACAATGAGGGGACGACCCATGAGTTGGTAACTTTGAGGTGTTTTAGGCTAGAAAGGCGGATATGTCATACCATTTCATTTATGGCCACAGCATAAAATTAGATTGAGAGAATTCTCCAAACAGCCATGAACACAATGATAATTTCCCCCGCCTGACATACGATGTACACAAACTATAACTGTACATCCGCTTTAAAGTGAAACAGAACCAAAGAGCAATGGATTTAGACTCAACATTTTACAGAGTCACATTTTTTATATTACAAAATCTACCCGTCAGGTTCCAAGGAGGTTGTGAAATCCCCTGTGCTTTTCTGCTGAAGAGCACGTGTCTGTCAAGTGACAAACAAAACAGGAACTAACAAAGTTCTTTGGGATTTTCTTTTTTGTGTTTCCCGATTCCTGATTTGCGTCTGTTTGAATCTGTCAAGCGTGAAAGACAAGCTCTGCAAGACACAGTGACAAATGGCCCAGCACAGCTCCAATACATTACCTGTTAAACATTACCGGCCCGCAGGCTTCTTCTCATTATTTCTCATTGATTTTGTGCAATTCACCGACTTCAAAATAGATTAAACACCTTGATTTCTTATAGCTTTAGTACATGTAAGCAGTTTTTTGTCTAATAGAAACACAAACTCTGGTTATAATGCTTTAACTGTTCATTCACTAATAGGAGAATGGTGTTTATTGCTTAAATGGCTTGAAATGTTGGCACAGTTGTCACTCTTTACAAAGAGGTTGTTGACACACTTACTACTCCACATGTGATCGTTGTGCTTTGGATGATACTATTCAGTTCCCTAATCTCTGCTGTCACAGACTGCAGTGCTTCCCTATTGATCTCCTTCAATCACCGCCTCCAACTGTCTGCATGTCCAAGCGTCTTCGAGTGAGACACTGAACCCCCCCCCCCCCCCTGTCCCTTTATGCTTGGAATGGGGTAAATGCAGAGGACACATTTCCTTAATGCACCTCTTGTATGTATATGTTACCGGCAGTGAAACGTTCCTCCTGACCGGCCTTAGGGCTGAGTAGACCCAACCCCTCTTCTTACTTCATGGTAATGAGTCATGAATAAGTTCCATGTCCATTTAGGAAAGACAGTCTTCTTTGGATTCTCTCTCTGTACTCCACACAGTTCCAACAGGCCCTAACAGACAAAAATACCCTGTATCCGTAGGCTTATCCTGATAGACTGAGAACACACGTGGGAGCTTATTTGAGGTCATTTACATATGTGGTTGACATATATTCACACTCATGTTTGTGGATTGTATGTATGTACCACCCTATATTGAAGGCTTCACGAATAAATACCTTGACACAAAAAGGAATGAGGTGAAATAAATAGTGACAGCAGGAAATTCTGTGTGTCCTTACAGCATTGATTTAAAAATCACAAGACAGTATTGTCCTTTCTCTGTATCGGCACACTTTTATCACTGCTCCCTTGCTATCTCCATTACTTTGCAGGCTGTCCCGGCAAAATTGACGTGATTAGCACGTGAATATACATGTGTCTTCTGCATAATTAAAGCTCAGAGGAATGCTGGCGTGGGATCGGAGGAGCAGAAAGGCCTCTCTGTTTGTTGGTCCAGCGGGCCATAGAGACCTCCCATTGTGAGTCTGGCCAGTGTTGGGTTACTGTATTGTCCATCGTTTTCCCACCTCCCTTTCGCTCTCCTGCACAGCCATGCACCAGAAAGGGGAAAGAAAGTGGCTTTTCATTGATGGGTCAGTCAGAGCATGCACAGGAACTCGGTGAAGAGGGGTCAGTCAGCTGGCTACAGCTGCCTTTCGTGGTCCTCCACCATTCCCCGGCAACAGGCACCCTGCATGAATGCTACCGAGTGACTCATTACCTCCACCACCACCATGAAGCAGTGAAGTGGGGGCAAAGGACCAATCAGAGTGCACTCATTGACTGCTGGTTTATTGTTATTGTGTAACATTTCTCAGACTTCAGTGTCTTTTGTGAGTTGGAAAGGACATCACCTAAGAAAGCTTCAGGGACTCCAGTTCATTGCAGGACATTAGAGAACAAAACAGTAAACGTATTCATCAAATGGCAAACAACAGGGACATACCCAAGAGTTTTGAAATATTAAAGTTATGAGTCCAACTGCAGCTGACTACTTAACCCTCCTTAACTCCATGAGTGGATGTAGTCTCTGGCTGCTTTTAATTAGCACGATGAGGACAAACAAAAAAAGCACTGTCACCCAGAAACCAAAAAGGAATTATTTTCATTTGTGAAGGTCTTTCTACTGTAGTTAAAGGGGCTCTCCACTGCTAAGTGAAAAATGCCACTGGAAAGATGCTTTAAATCTCTACTCAATGGTATTTGAGTATTTTTCATTGAGACTGCAACGCCCCTCTCAGGTTCCCTAAATACTACAAATTCCCAGAAGAATTACAGGGATTGTGTGAGATTAAACATTCTCCAAGTGCATAGCTTTCCACACATCTCTGTTTGAAAGGTCCCGTTTCATCAAGGTTTATTCAAGAAAGTCAACAAGACAGTGTTGATTCATAGTTCTCGCAGGGCCTACATTTCCTGAAGGCAACGTGGTTGAGAAAGGTTTTTTCGGCTTAAGCTGTCACTACCGTCACAGCTGGGGTTCCCCAAGGCTCCGTCCTGGGTCCTCTCTTCTCTCTGTACACCTGTTCAACTGTCCCAGCTCTGTCATCCACTCACATGGCTTCTCCGGCCACAGCTATGCTGATGACACCCAACTGATCCTGTCTTATCCACAATCTGAGACCCAGGTAGCAGCACCAATCGCTTGCCTGTTGGACTGACATCTCTCAGTGGATGGCCCACCACCTGAAAATGAACCTCGGCAAGACTGAACTTCTTTTCCTTCCAGGGGTAAGAACCTCCCACCAACGACCTGATCGTTACCTTTGACAACCCCGTCCCAACTGGTACAAGCTTTTTTCAAATGATCAAAACTTTTGGCCGGATTTGGCTACATACTATCTCTAGGGCCAATTGACATAATTGAATTTAAGAAAAGATGAGACAAACACAAGTATAGAATTTTAAATGGTTAAATAGAGCAAAGGAACATGCAATTTTCATTAACCACCTTTTCATCTCTTTTGCACCTTACTCTATTTCACCTCTTTGTGTGTGTACACTATGACAACACTGGTTGCACAACAGGTCTTGGCCAGAGGTCTGAGTTTTCTGTTGTTGTAGTGTAACAAGGAGCCTTGTTTCCGGCCAAATCCTTACTCCCTCACTGAGTACGAAGACTAGAGTACTATGAAGTTTCTCTCAATCACACGTTAAATAGTAAGCTGCCTTTCACACAGAATGGTTCAAAGGCCAAAGTAGCTTATCTCTAGGCTGGATTAGGGTAAGAACGTGTACAACGTGTTTATGGAAACAGTTTGTTCTCAAATTGTTTATTTAGGCTTAAAAGATTTCACTGTTAACAAAATTGGTGACTTGAATTGGTGAACTACATCTTTCATCTTTCCAATTGTTTTCATCCCACTTGGTATTTTTACAACTAAATCAACTCAATGACAAAATGTCATTGTTCAAATTCTCCAG